GACACTGTTTAGTGGCATCCAAAATGGTGGATTCTATAGTTTCCTCTGTTGGTGATAGTGAGAATTTGAATCCAGCAAAGAAGCTAGCCTTTGATAAGGAAAATCATCCAACCGATCTGCCTTGCAAGCAGAGGGAGTTATCAATGGTGTGTATGTTATATTAATTGTTAGAAGATGAGTTATGCAGAATAATATATATTATCTGTCATGTTTTACCTGTTGTCATTAGTAATATTTCTAAAAGCTTAATAAATGATAGAGCACAATGGCGTCTTGCAATCCATGTAGCCGACCCCACCTAGTGGGATAAAGGCTTGTTGTTGTTGTTGTTGTTGTTGTTTATTTGGATCTGGGAGGAATTTCCAATTTTTTGCTAGATAAATATCTTAAAAACTGCCTAGCATGGCAAAAGCAGAGTCAGGAAATCTTGCAGCACTTGCAAGATTTGGCATTGTTCTTATTCATAGACATAATAGAGATAATGCAGTTTTGATTGATGCAGTGCTGCTACCTTTTTTTGCACAATTTTTTTGTTGTGGTTCGGTACATCTATATACCTGGGTTGGTGCATTGCAGGTTATTGCAGCTGGCCCTTTTACCACCACAGACAATTTATTGTTTGAACCTCTAGCAGAATTGCTGGCATATGCAAAGAAAAGACCTCCACAATTGATTATATTGGTTTGTATCATATTGTCTGCAATCTGCTTCTTCCTATTAGTCGTTATGTTAGATCTACTGGTGCAAACTGGTGATATTGACAACTGAATTTTCTCTCAGATGGGACCATTTATTGACACTGAACACCCAGACATTAAAAAGGGAGCCACGGAGAGGACCTTTGATGAAATATTTCGTATTGAAATTCTCAGAAGGGTATTGACTAAAATAGAATAATTCATTTTTGGAATTGTGTTTGTGCATTTTTTTTTTCGGTCTTTGACAGAATTGTGTTTGTGTACATTTTTTTTCTAACTCCCCTTTTACCTAATTCCAGTTGGAAGATTATGTAGAATGTATGGGTTCTGCAGTACGTATTCTTCTTGTACCATCTATACGAGATGCTAACCATGATTTTGTTTTCCCTCAGGTAATGATAAAGTTGAGTCAACTAGGGTTGTGATATTTTCCTTTGGCCATTAGAATCTGTGGCAGTTTAGGTAGTTTATAGATTCAAATACTAATTCAATCAGTGTTCCTGCAGCCCGCATTTGATGTCAATCTTCGTGATCTCAAGCCTCAGGTACAGTGATTTTAAAGCATTTAAGAATTAATCTTCAATTCTTCATAACTGTTGCTAGTACTAGCACAATATCATTACTTCTCGACTAGCTATGCTTATTTAAGTAGTTTGTTTTATTGTTCAGATAGCCAGTCTCACTAATCCTGGAATTTTTGAAGCAAATGAGGTAATGCATTAATGATTCTGTATCGTGGCATCATCTTGTGCCTGTCTTAAAATCTGCTTTTGCTTCTGGGCTTTTGTACATCTAAATTTCCCTGAAAAAAAAAAAACAACGCTCAAACAGGATAGTGAAGTATGAAGAATCACAGGATTCATAAAAGATGATACTGGGCATTCCTTACATTATGTAGAAAATTTAGCTCAAACCTGCATTTCTGTGCTAAGTAGGGAGGGAGGGAGGATAAGGTGAACTTAGTGATTATTTAACCGCTCAGCACTCTAAATTTGTAGCTATAAATATCTGGAGTTTGACTTGGCACTGAGGAAACGTTAAAATTTGTCAACCAAATATCTCTATATACCAACCCTTAGAAAATACTGTTAACTGTTAGGGACATTGCAGTTCCATGCTCCTTGGTGAATTTAGCTTATGAAAGGGCAAAAAGAAAAGGAATAAAATGTCGATGGTATTTTCCTGAGCTGGAAGAATACCCTCAGGTTAACAAGGGATTATGTGATAGTGATTTGCTCGGGTGCATTTAGAACTATAGAAAGACGAGTAGATGAGTGTAATTATGAGATATGGACCAATAATTGGCTATCTTTTTCTTGCGTTACTATCTATAAATGTATGAATCAAGAGGATCCAATTTAGTTTGAATTGCATGTCTATGGATGACAGAATTTTGTATACAACAAGCTTTATTTCACTATGTAGGGTCGGTTACATGAATTGCACAATGCCATTATATTCTATCAACAGCAACCAAATATTTCTATAAAACATACTTTTGTATATTTTTATGAAATTATTTGCCATTAATCCTATGCCATAGATTGAGAAACATGTAGCTATGATCTAACTTGAGACGCATCTCATGGACATAGGTACAGTACGTCCATGGAAATTCTAGTTGGTTTTAGGCGCCACCTTTTGGATATCTATCTCACGAGAACTTTACTATTAAATTTTTTTTGAAGAAGTGCTAGGGTTTAGATGCTGTAAATATCTGGAGAGGAGCATGTGAGAAGCATTTTTACTTCAGAAATTGGGTTTCAGGTCAAGATTGGTTGTTGCACTGTGGATATTCTCAAGCATCTGAGTGGGGAGGAGATATCACGAATTTCAGCAGATGGAAAACCTAGTGATCGCATGAGTAGACTCGTAAACCATATTCTTAAACAGCAAAGGTTTGACACAGTTCACAAATTTCCTCACTGCTCCTTAATATTTTGTTTAGAAAGCATCAGACGCCATAATTGATGCCCTTCAATTTTTTTGATTCAGCTTTTATCCTCTTTATCCATCGGCAGAAAGTGTTCCTTTGGACTATTCTCTTGCTCCAGAAGCTCTTCAAGTCCCGTCAGTGCCAGATGTTCTCATTTTACCTTCAGACATCAAATACTTTATCAAGGTTAAAATTTATCCTGCCAAGATTCCTTTCATTTTCCCTAAACTATCAAAGATCAATGTTTGAAATCTGGGCTATCACGTTTTTAAGGTTTAAAATAAATGCTGATATTGGTTGGAGAGAAAAAAAGGTAGAGAGTAATGGACCTGAAGCCTCACATCTAGTAATTAGAAAGTAGATTAGGAATATATGAAGTTTAGGATTTGTCTTAAGCTATTTTAGTGAAATAACAATCCTCAATTATACCTAACATAAAAACTTGACACGGTATTAAGAGTCATTCAAAAAAACAGAAAAAAGGCAATGAAAAAGGAAAAAAAAAAAGAATAAAAGATGAGGAAGAAAATAAACTAGAGATTAAAAAGGAAAGGGAAAAATGAGTAATAGACCTGAAACCTCACATCTAGTAATTAGAAAGTAGATTAGAAATAAATAAAGCTTAAAATATCTCTAATCAAGTGGTTTAAGTTATTTTGGTGAAGTAGACAATTTTTAAGCACGTTTGATGCAAAAACTTGACAAGAGCTGACCTTGCACAGGTACTTAATGAAGAAAGTGAAAAGAACCACATGAAGTGCATTTCTGTGAATCCAGGAAGACTGGCCAAGGGAGAAGGAGGGGGTACTTTCGCTGAGCTTGACTTCTATGGCAGTGCCGGGACAAGCAATGCTTCAATTGTTGGCATATAAAATGCTGACAGCTGGATCAAAACATCTACTAGAGATTTCCCTCAGGTTAGATAATTGATTTTAGCTTGTCACTGATACACCGGTAATGTCCCTGTGCTTTTCCCGCTTCTAATGACTAGTCCCTAGAGAGAGCACCTGTGCTGTAATTATATCTGATATCAGTAGTTATTTTCTCTTATTCTTTATTAAATTATTTATCATACGGATCAGACAAAGATAACAACTGTTCTTGATCCTAACAGTGCTCCCTGCCATGTTAGACGTGACATTTCACATCTGTAACCTGATTGCAGGGTACGGCTATGTACCCACATTTCTACAATCGATTAAATTGTTTAGGTCAGGCTAGTTTACATGGATCGAAATTGAATCCTCGTTCATGCATGGGAGCATTTGGGGTGGTAAAAATAAAAGAAAAAAATGATTGAGGTTTGTATTTACAATCTCTTACATGAGGGAGATGGAAAGGTTGCTGAGTGAAAGATGTAGCTGGGGTTTCTTCCCCCAGAATGTGCCTTGGCCAAGTTTTTCCTTTTTGGTATAGCGCCCCCCCCCCCCTTCCTTTTTTTCCCCCTTAAATTGGTGTTATTTATGGATACAGCCGTGCCCAAGACTAACGCGGCCGAACCAATTAGATCATAAAGTGGGAAAAGAACGCTCGCTCTTGTAATTGCAGCCCATCATGTAAATGCGTAAAGGGACAAAATCTGCAACGTCCAAGTAATAAGAAGTTTCGACAAACAAAAAAGGTCATAATAAATCATGTAGATTAAAATTTCATGCAAAAATCATTTTTGATTTGTACTGACAAACTCACAAGTTTAAGCACAAGAATTCTCCCATATGAACAACCATCACCTTTGAGACTCGTGGCATTTTATAGGCACATTTGCAGATAAAACGAAATATATAAAAATATTGGAGTTGATTATTTTTGGCATTTAAGGGAGCCTAAGTGTGCGTGGTATCTTTCTTTCTTTGTTTCTTTTGGCGTTGGTGCCTCCTGAACATGTTTTACATGAGATGATACACTGATCACCTGGACGCGATTAACCTCATTTGTAGAGGTTTAAGGACAGGTCAATCCTTCGCTGAAGTCATAGCAGAGGCCAGAGGTGTAGGAGACCATATGTGCTCATACGGACTATAAAGTGCTGCATGTTGCTCGTGAGGCAAACACGTGTGCTGATTTCTTGGCCAAAATGGCCCAGGACCACCACCCTTATGATCTTATTCTCCTGGCTGATATCCCTAGTGGATGTAATAATCTGGTTTTGTTTGACAAAGGTGGGGTTGTACCTCACACGAGCTAGACTCTTGTCTTTGTAATCCTTCTAGCTTCTTGCTAGCCTGACTTATGAGGGGAAAAAAACATTTACATGAAGCTCCTATAAAACTCCTTTTGGGGGAGCACCAACACCCCCACAAACACAGTCCATAAAACAAAACAAATTGAGCACAATAGCCAGTAGGTTCCCAACAGATGGCACTCGGTTCAACAGCAAATGCTGCCAAAAATTGCAAGCTGGCTGAAATTGCATAAAATATTTAGAATAATTACACCTATTCAACCTTAACATTACCATTTAAAAGAAAACCAAAATGCAACAAGATGCCGAATAAAGCCCAAGACAGTGCCAGTTGAAGGCGTCCTTTTTAGGCTTCAGTCAAAAGTACAACTAGAACTCTAGGAATATACGACGAAGTTTTCCTAGGTTGCAATAATCAGTATAAAATTAACTGCCTTTTTTGATCTGCCAAGCCCATTAGGATGAACACCAAAGCTCAGAAATTCAGTTTGCCAGAGAAAGACTGTTGATTTACATCACCATTCCTCCATCAATAGTCAAAACCTGAAACATTGCAATTTTGATAAGCACGAAACAGCTGATTCAAAGGATAACTGAACCCTGAGATGGAATACGAGGTAATATGCCACCAATGTTTTATGAATGCAACCAAAAACAAAAAGTTGACTAGTCCAAGTCAGGATACTTTTTTTTTTTTTTCAAAAACAAGGCAACAAATAATTGACCTGTCCAGTGATGTAACTGGCAGCAGGATTAAGAGCCAAGAATTCCACCAGTCCAGCGACTTCTTCTGGTTGCCCATATCTTCCTGGATCCAATATGGAAAATGCAAGTTATTAGCATCTCAAACCCAAAAAAAAAAAATCCAGCACTCTAGAGTCTAAAGTAATTTGGTCACTCTATCAAAAACAAAAAACAAAAAAAAATTATTTAGTCACTGTCACCTAAGGGGATTGACTCCAAAATTTTTTTCTCAATGTCCTCTCCTAGTTTGGCAGTCATGTCCGATGCAATAAACCCTGGAGCAACAGCATTGACCTGAAAGAAACACCGAGTTATAATCAAATTCCATTAGCTGGTAAACATCATCTTGCACAGCACATAGAGATGCAAAAGTTTAATGCATTACATTGATGTTTCTGCTAGCATACTCCCTTGCAACGGTTTTTGTCAGACCAATCACTCCTGCTTTCGCAGCACTATAATTGGCTTGTCCAACATTGCCAACTAGACCAACAACTGATGCAATGTTGATTATCCTTCCCTGCAGAAAACTTCAGTTATTGTTGGATGCGATGAATTTTTGTTATATGAATTAGACAGCAACAAACTAGAAAGTATAATCGAGTACTGATACTAAAAATAGTAACATAATAGGATTTAACTTCCACATCTAGTAGAATAGAAATATAATATCTCACATTTTCTCACATATTATGGAACATGTTCACCGTAGAAGTAGATATTAGGAAAAAAAGACGAAGACAAAACTGGTAAACTAACAAGGGGGAGCAGTCAGTTTAAAGGCCAAATAGCTATTTCCAACAGCATCCCTACCCCTTAACACAAAAACCAAAAACAAACAATAGGAAAGAAGGAAATTAAATGGACTTAAGATGTCACCTTCTTTTTCTTCATCATGATTTTAGCAGCTGCCTGAAAAAAATAATCCATAAGCTCCAATTAAAAGCTTAATATTTTTTTAATACAGATGAAAATATAAACTTAATTCAACATTAACTTTGGGGTTAGAACATACTTGGGTGCAGAGAAAAACACCAGTGAGATTGAGATCAATAACGTCCTGCCATTGAGATTTCTTCATTCTCATTAACAAACCATCCTTGGTGATTCCTGAACAGGGGCATCTTTGTTAAAGTATGACAACAACAACAACAACAACAACAACAACAACAACAACAAGCCTTTATCCCACTAGGTGGGGTCGGCTACATGGATTGCAAGACGCCATTGTGCTCTATCATTTATCAAGCTTTTAGGAATATTATTAATTAAGAGATCACGTTCAACAACTTCCAAGAGTGTTCTCTAATGATAAAATATTGTTAAAGTATGACATCTGATGATAAAATATGCTAGAGCAAGAGCTTAGATCCAGGTTACCTGCATTGTTTACCAACACATCAACAGTTCCCCAAGCATCAACTGCCTGGAAATGTGAAAGTGATGAAGCAGCCAAAACATCTAATATTACTGTCAAAATAATGTAAAAATATTTACTTACAGTTTTAATCATAGCTTCCACATCTGCCTCATTAGAAACATCTCCCCCAAATGTAAGAGCTTGTCCACCATGTGCCTCAATCTGCAAGAAAAAATCAAATAAATAAACACAATTAAGTAAATCGCCAGTTAAGAATACTGATAGATTATGAAGATGACAAAAGCAGATATCATCAGTATAATGAGCCAAATATGTGATCAAGCATACATACAGATGATTTAAAATACCCACAAGTAAAACATCGGTTAAATCACAGGAATATGAGATACAGTGGATAATAAAGTTAGCATGCAGTTATTCTGTTTTGTAAGCAGGTCAACCTCCTTTTTTTTTTTTAACTCTGTTTTCATCAACCTCACCTTCAACTTTGAAAAGCAAAAATCACAGCATAAAGGTAACTGATCAAGACACCTCAGCAATGAAATTTATCCAGGAATTGGGCACAAACTAACCTTTGATATCTCATATAAACATTAGGTTCCAAACAGATTACATTCAACAACCTTTAAAAAAGAGCAAGGTATGGCAAACTCTAATACAAAAAATGCAAAGAGGTTCTACCTGCTTGGACACCTCCTCTGCTTCTTTGGATGATCTTGCATAATTAACAAGGACCTGCAATAGAAAACCCCAATAATTTACTGGCAGGTTAACAGTGCTTATTATGAACTATTTGCAGCTACAGTAAATTGAGACAATACCAGAGACCATATAAGCAGAGATGTCTCTCGTTAATCAGATAAAAAAAAATGACCAAATTCTTGGATAATCACAGTTGCATCATGTACCCCAGGAATTAATGTACGTTTAAATCTTAACAAAGCAACAAACTTGATCTATTTGAAAGTACAAACTTGTAACGACCAGAAAGAAGTCTATCAAGTGTCAATTTATGATTCCATGTTAGCTGATGCAACTTTATTTTCAATCATAAAACTGATAATTCTTTTAGCAATTGTGCTTTTCCCATTACTAAACACAAGTCATTCCGTTAAAAGAACCTTTTTTTTTTTTTTGCGTGTGTAATTACTGCCATTTTGTAACAGTCACTGGTTAAAAAACGAGGTCATATGTTATGGCTTCTCAAACTGAAAAATAGCCACTAACCTTGCAACCAGCTTTACCCAAAGACAATGCAATTGCTCGACCAATTCCTCTGGAGGCTCCAGTCACTACAACAACAGGTGCTTCAATATTTTGGGCAGTCCCAGTTCCTGCTTCTTCAAGAGTAGCAACCTGAGCTCTTATAACTGTGTTTGTGCGTGCATGAGTGTGTCAGCGTTGGTCATTATCATATGAATTTGCAAAACTCAAATGCAACATAAGGAGAACAAGAATAAACAAAAAGTAAGACGCAGTTTATTGTATATCTTTGCTATCAAACAAGTGTGCAATATCTAAACTATACACTTTTCACGTTTTAATTACAAAAGCAAACACTTATTTATTTTAATTGGAGACCTTGATAACAATCATTAATCAGCAAAAATACTTACATGCACAACAATATCTTTGCTTTTGTGTATTTAAAAAAAATATTTGTTTTTAGTATCCTTCCAAAATATAATAAGTATGTAATTTTCCTAGAGTATGATTTTCCATGCTACTACGAAGTCGTCGAATTACCATACAGTGGTCAAGTTTTGATTGATATACTTGTAATATTTCAGGGAAGAATTTCAAATATATATATATAATTGCACGAGTCTAATCCCAAAAATAAACCCCATTTCCATGAAAAGCCTATAGTTAGCTTGATTTTAACTGAACTCTAAAACAACTCTTACAATGTTAATAACCAAAGCCAATTCAGAGTCCACACTATAGTGTTCAAACGAAAAACGGGAAAATCAGTACCAGAGGATCCGAATGAACGGTTGGATCTGCAGTGAATTCTCGAAAGGGGACGGAGCTGACTCGCATGAAGATGAGCAACTTTCCTGTTAGAAAAGCCTCCAAACTTGGGCAAAACGACGGGTTCTTTGAAAGCAACACAGTTTGATCCGGCTATGGAAGCCATGACAGTTCGAAAAACCCTCCGAACAGCGAAAATAGAAGAAGGATGAGATGTAGCAGTGGAAGCCAGATGTGAATTGAAGAACGAAATTGCTGGGCCTTTAAATCAGAAATGGTGTCAGTTACTAGTAACGAAGAGCGTTGGCTTTGGGTGTAGCTTCGGAAGCTCCGGACACAACAAGAAGGGCGACAAAACTTAAGCTGCATATTTATACGGTTCCTTCCAGCCAATTATCGACTACCACGTGGCAGTCAAGGGTATAAGTGTAAATCAGACCTGAAGTCCGAGTAATTGAAGAAGAAGCATGAGTAGCTGCATTTGTTGTTGTGTTTTTTTTTTTTTTTTTTTTCCTTTTCTTTGGTTACTAACCAGAACCCAGAGAGCCATATGCATATTAGGTAGCCAAAATCAAGTCATCTAACCTAAGAGAGAAATCACACATATCTAAATTCTTCCAAACAGACAAAAAAACTCTTAAGCAATATTTCGATGAAAGTTGTTGCTAAAAAGAAGTAGAAAGCTAAATACTTCCTCCTTCAAAAATATAAATCATTTTTACAATTATTTATTTTTAAATTAATTTTAATTTTTTATATTTATTTCTACAAACATTCTAAAATAAATATAAAGTAATTTAATTAATAGAAGCACTTTTAAAAAAAGTCAATAATTACATTTTAAACAATTAAAAATATCTTATATTTTTTAATATTTAATCTTTAAAAAAATTATCTTACAATTTTAACGAAAAGAGTACATCTTTAGAGATGGTTTTGGTCCATGCATTTTTTTCTGTACCATACGCAACGAAGTTGGCACGCTTTGGATAAACAAAAAACTACAGTAAGATCCGTAAAGCTTGGCATCCCAAACTCATCAAGTTCTGTGAGCCACCTTAATGTGCGCCTAAGATTTTGAGCAAAAAGACACATCAAAGACTTGTTCTTCCTCTCTTGACAGATTCTCTTATCTACCATATGCAAATCATAGAAAATTATTCCAGAAAAGAGATAATTCTTCATTCCATTTAGGCATGTGATCGTCCTCATGCCAGCAAAGATAAACCATCTAGAGCACAGTTTTGCTTATGAAAACACAATTTTGTTAGTGATGCTTAATTCTTCCTTTGAAGTGTCCTGAATAGAGAAGGCTTGTGAACATGTTGCTAGAGTCCACTAAATTTGTTGAATTGCTTGAATTGGAGAGCATAATGTCAGTTGATACTTGAGGCTATTTCTACTATCCCATATGACTTGCCAAGTAACCAAAATGATTTTGACAACGTAAATCCAAGCGCTATATGTCAACGCTTTTTGACACTAGTGAAAGGCAAAATCAGCAATGTCATTAACTCCATCCATTCTGAGAGAAATGTCAAGACCGAACCACACAACTTTGGCATATGGGCAGCGTAAAAAAGAATGGACCAAAGTCACGGATCCAAGCCACAGAAAAGGCGAAGGTTCAGAGTTCGCAATGTGGCGTTTACTTAGAATATCCACTATTGGAACAACTGGATTAATAACCCTCCAGCCAAAAAGAATGATTTTGTGTGGCAGTTGCAAATTTCAAAGGAAGGTCCATGCATCTCTGTCAGTCTGCTGAAAACAAGGCTCTGGGTGATAACATGATATCCAATCTTAACTAAATACTTACCAGAAGAGGTATGTTTCCAAACAAGTTATCTTCCTCATGGACTACAGAAAACGGAGTTATGAGGATACCTTGTGCGTGTTGAGTAGGGAATAAGGAGTTAATGAGATCTTTGCTCCATTTGACACAATCAGCAAGGATTAAATTAGAGACATATAGATTCAAGTTTTTGTGTTCTTCTCTAATGGGAAACCACTTGCAGTGGTTAAAAGGAATCGATTTTTCAAATCCAACCCTCCATTTTAGGTTGTCTACCACAACAGGGGATGCCTTAATAACATCCTTCTTCATCCACGAATATCCTGATTGAGCTTTAAGTTACCTTCCATTAGGGGCTTAAAATATTTTCTTTTAAGTGTCCTACCGATGAGAGAGTTATCATCAGCTGCAATAATTCTCCAAGTTTGTTTTGCTAGCAAAGCTCTGTTGAAGCTATCAAACGATCTAAATCCTAAGCCATCATCTATCTTACTTTTTGATAATTTCTTCTATGCCAAAAAATGAACCTTCTTATTGCTATGATCTGTCATTCCCCAGTAAAAGTTTGCACAGACGGGGTCTAGCTTGGCAGAGGATTCCTTTTGAAGCAAAAAAAAAAAAAAAAAAAGAAAGAAAGAAAGAAAGAAAGAAAGGAAAAAAGAAAAAAAGACATTTGATATACACAGGATGAAGAAATGACTGATTTAATAAGAGTCATTCTTGTAGCTTGAGAAAGAAGAGGCCCTTTCCACTTGGATAGCTTCATCTCAATTGTGCCTACTTTCTGTTGATAGATATACTTTTTTTCCATACGATTGATCAATTAAAATGCCACAATATTTCCCCAAAGTTTATTACTTGTTTACCCTCAAAATTTCTACAAAAGCCTCTATTTCTGTTGTCTGAGTATTGGGGCTCAAAATCAAAGAAGAATTTGCATAATTAATTTCAAGCCCAGACATATGATAGAATGAATTTAAGACTTGTCTAACCACATGATAGGAGCTTCTATTCTCTTGAAAAAAAAAAAAACAAAATTGTATCATCTGCATTTGCAAGATGAGAGATTAGATCTTCAAGTCTAGAAATTTTAATTCCTCTCCAATTTCCAGCAGCTTCTTGAGAGAGAATTTGGAGGGATAATCCATTAGAACAAAGAATGAACAGATAAGGGGACAAGGGGTCCCCTTGCTTGATACCTCTCCTTGGTGCAGAGGCTAATGTAGATTTCCCTTTTGCAAGGCTATGAGAAGACACCGATAAAGGCAAAAGGAAATCATTTGTATCCAATCCATAGGGAAATCCATAACCTCAAGCAGTTTGAAGAGAGAAGTCCAATCAACTTTATCAAATGCTTTTGTGCAATCCAGCTTAAAGGCAGCCCAACAGTTTGTGTTCTTTTGGTTGATTGCAAATAATGAATAATTATTGCAGCAAGTAAAATATTTTTCAGAGATGAGCCGACCTTTAACAAAGGCACTCTGGTGTTGTAGAATGAGATCTCCCAGAATGAGCTTGATTTTGTTTGCCAGAACTTTGGAAATAATTTTATATGCCATCGAACAAAGACTAATTGGGCAAAAGTCCTTGGAAGTTTGTGGACAATTTGTCTTGGCAATGAGATATATTAAGATTCTATTCAAACTCTTGGAGAACGAGCCACCACTTTTGAATGAAGTAATCATCTTGAAAAGATCAGGATGCACAACATGCCAGTATCTTTGAAAAAATCATGCATGAAACCCGTCCACACCCGGGGCACTATCAGCTGGCAAATTAAAGACAGCTTCCTTTAATTCTTCAATTGAGAGATCTGCATATGAAGCAAGGCTAAGTGCAATTGAGAGAGCTTTGGAATTTGCAAGGTTGACAGAAAAGAAGCAATATCTGTTGCTAAAGGAGCAATGGTTGTGCAGTAAATGTTTGTAAAATGATGAATAGTTAGTGTCTCCATCAGATTTGGGTCTTCAACCCAATTTCCTGCCTGATCATTGACTCTCAACAGAAGATTGGAATTTCTTTGCCTGTTAACTATAGCAGTATTTAGTGTTACGGTCTCCGTGCCTCATCCAGAGTTGTCATGCTCTTTGTGCCCAAAATGCCTCTTCACAGTCATAATAAAACTCCAAAGAAAATCTAACATCTTTTGTTTCATTGAATTTATTCCCCCGTTGCAGCATGGTTAATCCGGATTCTAATGACTGGATTTGTTCAAATAAACGAGAGCAGTATGTGAAAAAAATCCTAACTTCTTTAATTTAAAATATTATAAATATCTTATGAAAACTAATTTATAAGAAAATCATTTTAAGAAAAAAATATAATAAAAGGAAAAACTTAGTTTCAATTTAACTCTACTCATTATTTATAACCCGTTCTCTAGTCAAATTTCAACACTTGGATTTTATCATAAATATAATTATGACCCATTATATTTGGGTAAATGATGAAATGAGAAAAAAGGTCCTAAATGTTTAAATTTGATGGAAAAGTGATTATAATGGACATAAGCAAATAAACCTGCATTTTTTCGAAATAATAAATATAAAAAGAAAGTATTGATAATTAGATGAATTTTGACATATACATTAAAAAAAATATAAAATATCAGCGTTTCCTATTCATTTAAAACCAAAACTTCGAAATTTTTTTACCAAAAAAATTTGGAATTTCACTTCAAAGAATGAGTTATATTTATGTATTCGGTGTCTTGATTGGTTTTATGTATATGATACATGATGAAAATTGAGTCAAATCAATCAATTAACTTACTAACCTATTGAATTAATGTTTTGATTAGTTTAATAAAATAATTTGTTTATAATTGATCAATCATGTTTCACTTACAATTTTAACTATTAATTTTTAAACTAATATTTTAGCCGGTTTAGTTTTTAACTCTGGTAATATTCATTGTTGTTGGTTATATATGAACATACATACCTCTTGCTGGGGTGAAGGGCGTCACAAAACAAGTGTTGACGACTTGGGATGCATTTCAGACAGCCTCGGACCGAAATCTTGTATTTAAGTGGCAGCTTATAACCCGATCCACTAGCACCAACTAGACATTTACTTTGTCCGCTGAAGATGAGGCAAAAAAGTGTTGGGCTGAGAACACTGTCGGATTTCCAAAACCAGCCCAAACTGCACCGAGAGAGCCGTTTTGGCGGGAAATTTTGGTCATCCATGCGCAAGATCGAAGCTCCAAAGTGGAATGGAACACCCGCGTCATTTGGGTATTTTATTTTTCCAATAATTTGCTCCGGTCCGACGAAACAATGGATTCCGATTCAGACTCAGATGCTTCTCATGTCTCCGCTACGCCCCCCAGAGAAGAGCCTCCATCAGCCTTGCCTTCACATCCGCCGCCGCCGACGAAGAAACCTGTTCTCGTTCCTAATAAATTGAAATCGTCTTCCTCGTCTTGCTTGAAATATTCAAAACCCAAATTACGCTCTTCAAGACCAACAAAAGCGTCGTCCAAACCGGAATTCACTCAAGAAGAATTGCCTGGTAACTCCTTTGGCCACCCTACTCCACCCTTCCAAATCCGTCGACCTTCTGACTGTGTTACCCAACTGTCAACTGCGCAGTACTTTGAAACCCTCCCAGCTGGCTACTTCTCCAAGTCCGTGTCTTTCTCGAAAATTCGAAGGCCATTCCTCAGTTTTGCAGATTCATCTGGAAATGAACCTCCCCTTGATTTTGCATCTAATCCAGGCCTCAAGAACGAGAGTAATGAAAGTTATTATCAGCAGGGTGATTCTATTCCTCTAGGTTTAGAGGGAAAAAGTCTAAGTGCAAGGAATATGACAAAATTAGGAAAGAGACATCCTAATCTCATTGGAGCTAATGTGCCGGCGCCATCTATAAAGGTGCGAAAATGTGGCAGCGAGGGAAATTTTGTGAGGTTGAACCTGAATAGCAAGAGGTGGAAGTCTCGGAACCGTGGGAAAAAGAAAAATTTTGCATATAGTAAGCGTAGAAGTTACATGAGAGATAAAGTTAAATCGAAACATGAAGATGAGGATCAAATGCAGTCGGTCTACGAGCCCAAGGAGGATACGTTTGTAGTGCGGACAGCGCAAAAGAAGTCCAGGGATCCTCGTGGAACCAAAGAATTTAATTGCGAAATGATTGAAGAGGCGATTTCAGCAGTTCGAGATGTCCCATCTGACGAGAACCTGGTGAAGTTGCTACAATTAGTTTATGGCCACGATGCTTTTCGGGATGGTCAGTTGGAGGCAATCAAGCTGGTACTTGCTGGAAAGTCGACTATGCTTATTTTGCCCACTGGTGCTGGAAAGTCCCTGTGTTATCAGTTACCTGCAATGATTTTACCTGGAATTACCCTGGTCGTCAGTCCATTGGTAGCCTTGATGATTGATCAACAAAGAAAATTGCCTCCTATGATTAATGGAGGGTTTCTATGCAGCAGTCAGGTAACTTTATACCCTTTCTCACTTTCCAGGAGAAAAAAATTATTTCATTTTGTGCTGTGACCTTTTTCTCTTTAATTGTTTTAGACACCTGAAGAATCCTCTGAAACGCTGAAGCAGCTTCAAGAAGGTGCATTAAAGGTGGGATTACCGACAATTATATGTAGTTCTGGCTTCATGTGTACATTCTCTCATTTGCTTATGCTGAAATATGATCAGTCTTGCAGTTTGATTTATCTTACTTCATGTATTGGTATCAATTATAAGATCCTTTACTTATCACTTTGATCCTCATATCGAATTTAATGATGATATCGATTCTGAGATGCATGCACGAGTTTGGTCTCTGCCACTGTCTAAGGTTTGCTTTCGCATCTATCATTTACTCAGGTGCTTTTTGTCTCACCAGAGAGGTTACTGAATGAAGAGTTCATGTCAGTAATTTCTTCCTCTTCAACTGTTTCTCTTGTTGTGGTTGATGAAGCCCATTGTATATCTGAATGGTGAGGAAGTTCCAGTTCCATATGATGATGTCAACATATTCATACCTATCTTATATTGACAGTTTAAACTTTTTCCAGGTCACACAATTTTCGCCCTTCATTCATGAGGCTCAGGGCATCTTTTCTCCGCAATAAGCTAAATGCAGGTTCTATTCTGGCAATGACAGCGACTGCTACAGCCATAACTTTAAATTCCATCATGTCTGCTTTAGATATTCCTTGCACAAATCTTATTCAGAAGACAAAGTTATCGGATAATTTGCATTTATCTGTTTCCTTAGCAAGAAATAGGCAAGTTAAATGCTCCTATATTTTGAACTTCAAATCTGGATTTGTTAAACTTGAGATATTAATATTTCAACATTGCTAAAAATGATAGAATGAAAGACTTGTTGATGCTGATCAAGTCTCCTCCATATGTGGAAGTTCAAAGCATCATCATATACTGCAAATTTCAGGTGTGTACACGGTCTTACTTGTTAAGAATACGGAATAAGCTGAAGATTTCTTGGAGCTTACATATCATGATATTGCAAATAATCTCCGTTGCAGCAAATCGTAGTACCAGATGTGTACAATTTATGCATGAAAAATTGCCAAATTTTGTGGACTTCCTTGTGTTTGGTGAATATCCTAGGATTTAGATATTTTGGGGTCGGTAATTGTGTTTTTTCTGTTCCAGTCTGAAGCTGATATAATTAGCAAATACTTGAGTGACAACAATATCTCTGCGAAGGTTAGCACCATGTTTACACTTTTGATATGATGCCTTAGATTTCTTTGTGTAATCTTTACAGCTGGATGGTAAATCTTATGATAATTATGAACTACTACTATCTAGAGTTATCATAGCAGTATCCCTGCAAAGGAGCGTAGCTATGTGCAGGAGTTGTTTGGTTCCAACAAGATCAGGGTGGTAAGATCATTTTTTTTCTATCATAAATTTTGAGGTGTGCTCATGCATTTTGATACGAATAAAATATTGTGAGCTCCCTTTTGTTTTACTAAAATTATAGAGACCTCCCTTCTATTTTCAAAACTTACACTTTAGTCCTATTTTTAATATCGTTAGAAGTATTTTGTTAAGGATTTTAAAATTTTTAATTTTTGATTTGCAATAATGTTGAAAAATGTCAAATTATTAATTTATCCTTGTAATTTAATTGTCTACTCTATCTTCCCCCATTTAAGGAAAATTTAAATAATTAAATATCTCAATAATTTAAAAATATTGTGTTAAAATTAATAAAATTTAAAGAAAAAAAACATAAATTACACTGACTAATTTATTTCTTAGTATATTGAATCCTGATTTCATTAAGTTTTTTTTTTTTTTTTACATACATGCCTGAAATATTATTTTTTGACAACTTATGTATTTAAAATTTTAAAAATTACTAAATGCATTAGTCTGGATAAATAAAAATTTTAAATGTGAATTAAAAAAGGTAAAATATATATTTATACATGCATTAATTTTTTTAAGTAACTTGAATGATTTTGAGATAACATTTATGGTTTAAAAGGGAGTATTTTAATCCAACACATGTGAGTTAATGGTCAATTAATAGTTGGGTGGATGTAAACGTAATATTGAAAGTAAAAGAGAGGTTTGTGTTTTTTGATTATTGATTTTAAGAGAGATTTCTATAAGTTTTAAAAATAAAAGGGAGGTATTTGTAATTATGATAACATAGAAGGGAGGCCAATGTAATAAGAATATTTTGCATGTACCCTCTCTATTGGCGATTCAAATGACATTTTACTTTGCCAACTGATGTACCTTGTAATTTTTGGTGAAGGTTGTTGCAACTGTTGCATTTGGCATGGGATTAGACAAAAGGGATGTTGGAGCTGTAAGGCTCATTACATTTTGCTTCCTACATTTTTTTTACCTATTGGTTTCTGACAGTAAAATTACACTATGATTATGTATTCATGTTATCATGTTCACCCTGCGTTTAGTTGTTTCTTATTGATAATTTTGTACTTAAAAATGCCATTTTGCAAACATTACTTTTTTTTTGTGCTTCATAAATTGGTATTTAACTCCAATACAAGTGATCTTTCTATGTTGGTTTTTGATTCTATAAATTGGTTACCTGTGTTCAGGTAATTCATTACAGTCTGCCAGAAAGTCCTGAGCATTATGTGCAGGTAGATCTTTTATATTCTAATAGCCATAGGTTCTTTCTTAGGTTTTGTAAGATAACATGAATGGTGATTTGTAGGAGATTGGACGTGCTGGAAGGGATGGGAGGTTGTCCTTTTGCCACCTATTTTATGATGATGAGACATATGTCAAACTCCGTAGTCTAATGTACAGGTAATATATGCTTTCTTCTACGTCCTTTGGGACTGTTACATTGCTATCAAATTTAATGCACTATTTTGTCTTCAGTGATGGAGTAGATGAATATGCGGTGAACAAGTTCCTCTGCGAAGTATTTCCTGCTGACAGAATTTCCAACGGCCAAATATGTTCCTTGATCAAAGAATCTGCTTCACGCAGGTTTGATATAAAGGAAGAGGTTTACTACTCAACATATCAGACCTTCAATTTGTGTACTTTAAAAACCCAGACACCCTTCCTTTTACTTAGTCATGCTGATGTTCTGATCTTGAATGTAAAACGATACTTTGTATGACAATTTTTTTTTTAAAGTCATCCTATTAGCGTGAAATTTTGTTTATTGAATGGATATAAATAATTAACGTGGTTCCTTTGCTGATGTTTCCAAAATGCACTCTGGTTAAAATCAATTTTATGCAGTTCAACTGGAGATGATGATTGTACCTGTGAAAAATTATTATTATTATTATTATTATTATTATTATTATTTTGTAGTTGTTAGGTAACTTGAGAGAATGAAGATTTTTTTCGCATTCAAACCATGTTACAATTGAGTCTGAAATAGGTCTCTGGGGCTAAACTCTTTATTAATATTTTGTTAGGTGATGCTGACACTTTTGACGCGCTTGGAGCTGGGCAATGTGCAGTACATACGTTTACTTCCACAGATAAATACCACTTGCACTTTGAGTTTTCACAAGGTTTGTGCGGATAAAAGCCTTTGAATACACACAAATGGACATGATTGGCTCACTCAATCTAGGCGCACTGGTTATCATTGGTTGAATTACAAGTCTAGAGAATACAATTAAATCTCATGTTTATTTACTCAACTGAACTTCAGAGAAATACATTAGTTTGAATACATTACATACAAAAATAATTGAGTAACTAGAGATGCATCAAAATTTTCACATTGCAGACTCTCCCTACATTACTTGCCCAAAAGGACTCTGCTGTTGCTGCAATTCTGAAAAGGTGAAGATTGTTTTTTCGGACATTTGATTTTAAATTAATTTTCCTGTTATTGGATGGCTATTCTGTTAGGTTTAATATTATGATCTTGCATGGGGAGTTGGATTGGATTCCATCATTCCCAAGTTTTCAATAGCATACATGCTGGGTGCTAAGTTGTTTGGGATATGGCTTTTCCTGATTTATTATTACTCTAAAATCAATTTAATGCTACCCAATTTGTAAATATCTTGTTTGACTGAATTCTTTTATTTGATTTTCAGGTCTGAAAATAAGCAAGGGCTATATGTCTTTGACATGCCCTCTGTGGCTAATGACATGGGAGTTACAGTTGTTGAGCTATCAAATCAATTGCACAATCTAAAGGTCTCGTTAATTGGAATTCATGTTATCATGAGTTTGCATGAGTGCATAATACCTTTTCAAAGTCCAAGAGTCCTGGGTTCCAAGTAACTGAATATTTTAGATTCCAGTTTTGCAGTGCGAATGTCCTGTCATGGAGTGGTAGGAAGAACAGGAAAATACAAGGGAAAGAAGAGAGAGAGAGAGAGAGAGAGAGAGAGAAATAGAAGACACAGAAATAAGTTAGAGAAACAGAGAGATTAGAGAGAGTTTTTATTAAGCATACTCTTACGTCTACACATCCCCCTACCCATAGATGCTAACCTGACTTATCTTTATTCCTCTAACAATCTTAACCAACTAATTAACTATCTTTAATATATCTTTCACGAATTACACATCAATACTGCCCACTCCAAAAACCCTTGACCACAAGGGTCTGTTACATTAAAGCCTGATGCTGTTACTACAGCTAAAAAAGTGAATCCCAGTTGCCTCCTTCATCCGGAAGCCCCTTTCGCTGCACCAAGACTTCCCTGAATGTGAACATCATCTTCGTTCTCTTCTTCAGGTTCAAGATGGAGCTCAATGAGTTGCAATTGCATTTGCTGCATCTGTGGACTGCTGTGACCCCTAAAGAATGGCTGATGGCAATAAAAACAGATGTTATTGACTAGAAGCTCATCAACTTCTTCTGGGCTCAACCTTTTTGTGATTTCGAGTTAGTTTTTGAAGAGGAGGCCCCTGCGCTCGAAGAAACAGATGAATCAGGAACAGTTTTCGAATAAAAAGAATGACCTTTATGGAAAGGATGTTTTTATCCTCAACATGTTGGGACCCACAACCACCAAATGTGTTTTTTGGTCCTTTCCACCTGTCCGAACCCAACGATGCATTCTGATACCCATCACGAAAATTAAGACTCGTTGCCTTTTCGTGTGTCTCCCGCTCTTCGAAGATTGACTTCGTGGATTTTTGCGATGCTCCGAGCTTCTTGCAATGATCGAGGCTTCAAGATACGAACTTGAGCAGCAAAGTCCTCGTCTAGCCCTGCTGCAGACGCCTGCACGAGGTAGTCTTCAGGCAATCGGAGCTTGTACACGATTGCATCGAAGTCATCATTAAAATCGTCCAGGGAACCCGTCTGTCTCAGTTTCATCAAGTCTTCCATTGGGGCCTCGTAAGATGATCCGAATTGAACCTTTAAGGCTTCCACATAGTCTGCCCAAGTCAGCGTCTCTCCAAGTTTTCGCTCCAACGCTTGGTGCCAAGAAAAGGCCTTTTCATCTAGATGAAGACTGGCCATTGTAACCTTCCATTCTTCAGGAGTTTCATCAAGCTGAAAGTACTTTTCACACTTTAAATCCACACGAACACATCTGCCCGTTGAAAGCGTGGAAACTCTATCTTTGTGTAGGTTGTCGGTGGTTGGTAGTCTATGTTGTCATGTCTTGGTCGACCAGTCTCATTTCTTGGACGCCCAGGCCTGTTACCAGTGTGGCTGCCTCCCTCGTTGGCCGACTCTGCTTTCTCACGAACTAATATTGCAACTTGGGCTGACAATTCTTGAACAATACTAGGTAAAGATGACACCTTCCTAAGCTCTTCCTCAGTGTCACGAAAGCGGCCATCAGACTGTCCTGCCATGTTTCTCTGGTTGTTATGGGAACGGGTTTCTGGCATGAAGAATAGCCGAGAATCGTCGGCTCTGATAGTAGTGGTAGGAAGAATAGGAAAAGAGAAGGGATAGAAGAGAAAGAAGGGAGAAATAGAACAGAAGAGAGAGAAAAAGAGAGAGAAGAGAGATATTCTGAATTTTTTATTAAGCATACTCTCAGGTCTCCACATCCCCCTACACACACGCACGCACGCACTAACCTGACTTCTCTTTATTCCTCCAGCAATCTTAACTAACTAATTAACTATCTTTCTTTAATATCTCTTTTACAAATTGCACGTCAGACGACGATATGGACAGTCAAGGTGTCAAGTTAAACTGTTAATTTATTTAGTTTTATATACTCAGTTGTTACCCATGTGTAAGTTATGGATCCTGATGCTTAAGAATATTACTTCTAAATAGCTCTGCACTGTGCCAAAAATTGCTGAACAATGCTGTCAGAACCACTGACGAATCCGCAAGAAATGGAAGTGTAACTGATGGCGTTGTGTCCAAAACAATTACAAAACGATAAATTTGTGGATGATTTTGTCAGAGGACAATGCATCGCATCTCGCTTTAATCTTTATCTTTTCATGCTACTATCACTTCTTTGTATTATTATTCCTGTTTTTTCCCTTATGTGTAATTCATGCCTGGGTAATTGTTTAGTTACCTCGAGAATTTTCATATTTTCTTCTCTGTTCTCGATGCCTTTCAAATCATTATCATCCATCTCATTTGAGCAATACACTACAATTACATGCTTATTTCAATCACGAATAATTATTTGTTCTTTATTTGATATTATGCTATATGGTTTATAAAGCCTTATTGTGACGTTGTTTCTCAGTTGCTTGGAGAAATAACTTTTGACACGAAGGACTCGGCCTATTGCTATATCATTGTCAAAGCACCAACAGATTTTTTTTCGTTGTCGGCAGATCTTACACGATGGTTATATGAGTTTGAAGGATCAAAGGTGATTAATTTTATTATTATCAAATTAAGCTTTGAATTAGGAAAATATTCATTCAGTATGTCTAGTGATATTTTTTTTAGGACAAAAATCCCATGCATGTTTGCTTGGGATTATGTTCTTGTGATACTGTTAAAGATCTCACTCCTGTACACACAAACACCTGGACGCTGTCCCTAACATAGGTTATTTATTCTATTGAAGAGTATTGTACTTTTCAAGAGTTATGAGCCATATTCAAATGAAACCCTGATTAAGCAACAAGATACAGTCTTGAACAAACATACAGGGGCACTTACACGATATCTCATTCACAGCCAAGAACAGAGAAGCAAAGGCCAAAAAGAAAACAATGAGACGCACTAAGGCCTGATATTGTGTTGACTGGGGAATTGGGGATTCTCCATCCTAGAAGAATACAACATACCACCAAATCACACTAGGATAAAATACACAAAATGACATAGCAAACACGGCCGAGTTTCAGACACCAGTACACAACAAAAGAACAAGACTAGCGCTGGCTCTCTCAAGAGCTGACTCTTCAACCCTACCCAATTCTCTTTCCAGAAAATTATCCTGCCTTTTCTCGGTCAGTTCCCTCTCCTTAACTGTCTCTGTGCGTATGTGACCTTGTGCCTTCAATAGACCATCAGTCCCACTCCTCTCCCTATTTGACTTCCTTTGATCTCCTGCAAAGGCTATGGATTTTGGCTGCATGGGTGGAGTCTCCTCCTAATGTCTAACATTCACCTCATTGATTTAAACCCGTGATAAAACTTACTCTACTCTATTTTTAGAATCGATTAGCATGTCAGGTAACATACATCGCATTTGTAACATCCAGATTTGCTAACTGATCTGGTTGTTTTATTTTCTCCTCTCTCAATGTCATTTCGAACACTTGATCAATATCCTCAACACCAATATGACACTCGATTATTGAAATCAGCCTGTTTTATTGTATCTGCATTTTGATAAGGTACGGAAACTGGATGCAATGTTTGATGCGGCATATCATGCAGTAAATATTTGTGACAAGATGCCAGGTTGCAGTAGTTCTAATCACACACCATGCTTGCAAAGAAAGATATTAGATTACTTTGCTGGAGTCGATAATAATTCCATGTACAAGAAGTTGGATCAAAGCAGGTTCTTCATTTTTTGGTTGCTTTAAATCTTCAACTATACCCAAACTGGTTTTTAATCATTTTATAATTGTGATGACTATTAAATAATTCTGCTTTATGCTAATCATAATATTCATTTCTAATATTTACATTTGCAGTCCTTTTTTGCGGGCAGATATAAAGGTGTGTTTTCATATTTTCATAAATTTCATTCTAAGACTGCTTGATGCATATAATGAAAATGGAAAACTATAGTTACTTACTTCCTTCGGATGAACAGGTCTTTCTACAGAGCAATTCACAGGCCAAATTCACGCCAAGAGCCATTGCAAGGATAATGCACGGCATTGCAAGCCCAGCCTATCCTTCCGCTGTTTGGTCTAAAACTCATTTCTGGTAAATAAATACATAGATAAATGGCTGATACTTTTGCATTCAGCGGATTGGCATCTATTTTGTTGGTAGAAAAATTTTCAGAATGAAGACTCGACGAGTTTCAAAATCTGTGTTTTAAGTCATGATGAAATTGTATAATTTGAATGTTGTTCCTACACATTAAGGCCAATTCTTGCTAAACTAAACTGATGATTATGTTATTGACCGCAATTTAGTGCTTAAAGATCTTGTCTGAAAAAAAAAATGAGTGAAACAAAACTGACAATTTTTTAGTGCATGCTCCATTCCTAACTTCACTATCAATTTTCATCATCCCCATTTTCTTTGTCCCGCCTTGTTTTTACCAAAATGACCATTTTTAAGTTCACTGACGTGTCTGATCAATCCCGGTAAAATAATGAGGCTGGATTATCAATTACTGTTTTCAGGGGACGGTATAGGCATGCGGACTTTCAGGCGGTGATGGAAGCCGCAAAGGAAGAACTCAAGAATTTTGTTGGAAAAGACGGCAGCTCTAGCCATTTAAGATAAGGTTTACCATCTGATTGGCAAATAGATTCGGATTCCATGGTGCTAATGCACATGCATATTTTGAAACAGAAGCTAAGTTGTTATTGAACTATCCAATTGTTAGATATGAGTCATGGCATGAATTAGGTGGGTAAGCTCCATAGCCATAGGTTGAAAACAGAAACAGTTTTACTGCTGCCTGATTTGTGAACCCCAAGGTTTGCATGTAAAATGAAGTAATCCACGTTGTACAAGACATACTGGCTTGTAAATAGTAAAGCAGTTTTGGTTATATATTTCATATATATATATATATATATATATTTTCCCTGGTGTTCTTATTATAAGCCATTTATAACTAATTTACAACAATTAGGAAAAGTTATCACATCATAAAAGTTGTCTGAAAATTGCTTTGATTTCCATTATTACCTTTGATAAATATCATAAATTTTAAAAACATTCTTTATCTCCTTAAAAACTAAGAAGAATGGCATATTTGAAATAAAGCAATTAATGCTACACAAACTCCTACAAAGTGAGTTATATTTAAAATCATAAAATTCTTTTATAAGGCGATTTTTATACAAGACTGGAAGGAGTATATAGATCTGTATTCTATAAATAGTGCCATAGTTGTTGGAATACGGCATGAATCAGGTGTCTTCTTGTCTGGATGATGTTTTAGCTGATATCTCCTTGTCCATGACTGTATGAAGCTCTTGCAGGTCATGATTTTTGTGTTTTCTTTTTTGAAAATCAGCCCCTCCCCTTATCCCAAACTTTACGTAATCTTTCAATATCTCGTGGAAATGTTTGCATTATCCGAGAAGGTTCCGATCATAGAGAACTATTATGACTATTCTCTTGCGATATTTCTGTCATTCCTCTAGGAGTATTTTGGATTTTTTTTTTTTTGTTTTTGATGATAAACGGTCAAATATTATAAATATTAAAAGAGTACCAATGTAGAATAAAAAGTCATAAATTCAAAGCATTAAAATGCATCCAAAGGGAAAAAACTAAAGACATGGAAGAAGAGGTCTTCATGGGTCATTAGAATATCAGTGGTATGGAAGATAGCTAGTAAGGTGAGATTTATTAACACTGTCAGAATGTTGCATGTTAAGAATGTTAAGGCTTACGAATTTCCTCTTCAGATAAAGGATCATAAAATTTTCAGTTGAAAATTCATAGTTCTTGTATTAAGAGTATCCACCAAAGCGCCGATCCCAAACATAGTAGAAAAAAGGATGGTGAATAAGTGGAAATTTTCCTGAAAATAAGGTTATTCAAAGGTTGATAGTTGTGACAAATAGCCAACAAGCACAAAACCCGTGTTCCCTACCTAATCTTCCATGAGGATTTTGGATTTGTGTCCTGGGAGACAAGTTAACAAATTGCGTATTTATTTGTATTTCAATTTCAGAAGATTCATTCCTTTATTTTTAATATGCTAGGCCAATGTAAGTTTCAAAAGGAAAGCAATGCCAGACCCATAAAATCAACGAATCTATATTCATAAAAAAAGTTGAAAAGTCAATTCAATTTATAAAAAAAAAAAATCAAGGCATTTGGTGGTTACACCTGCTGAATAATAAATAATTTTCTTTTTCTTTTTTCTTTTTTTTTTTTAGTTGAGAGATCTTAGTATCTTGCGAGTTATAGCATGCCTCCTCTCCGGTTCACAATTAACCAGTGTTTTAGAAGTCTTGTTTAGTTTAAAACACAGGATATTTAATAACTATTATAATTTCTTTCAATTATATTTTTTTTTTACTTTATTTTATATTTTTTTAAAAAAATATTTATTGAAATTTCAAGTATCACTATTAAAATATTTATATAGGACATTTAATTATAGTATAATTGAATAAATATGCACTTTTTTAATTTTGACTACTTTTTAGAAGGTTAACAATGTCGTAAAGTATATATCATTGTCCGCATTTTTTTAAATAAAATTATAATCAATTATTCTCTTCACATGATTGCGAACTAATCTAAAGTCATGCGTAAAACATGATCCGAAACTTCCAATCTCATTTTCCTTTTTTTAAAAAAATAAAAATAAAACTTCAAATGAAATTGCAATATCCCGGGAAAAAAATCGAAATTGTGAAGTGGGCAGGGGTATATTCGAGACATCCATGAAGAAGAGAGGCATCTTCAGCTGAGGAAGCTAAGACCAACGGTCAGCATATAAATCTAACAGCGAAAAGCGCCTCTCTCTCTCTCTCTCTCTCTCTCTCTCTCTCTCTCTAGAGTCAAGAGCGACGGCCTTGGATTTTGCGGGAGGAAGAAAGTTTGAGCTCTCTAGCTTCGTCATTGTTCTCGGTATTCGTATTCTTTCCTCTGAATCACCGTTCTCTGCTTCATAAAAGAAATCAGCGATTCACATTGTTCTGGGAGATCCGAGAGCCATGAATGAGGTCGCCGCCACTTCGGCATCGGTGATGCGTGCTTCAACGTCTTCGCTGTCGTCTTCGTCAGTATTTACTAATTACCCCCTCATTTCTGCTATCGTTTCTTTCGCCATTGCCCAATCCACCAAATTCTTCGCATCATGGTTGGTATTCCTGTTTCTTTGCCGTATTATGCAGGGAAACTTGACTGCAAATTTGATCAGAATTAGGTTTCTGGAGAAAAAGTAAAACGGTTTAAATAAGGAAATTCAGATATTATGTTTAGTTTTTTTGGTCTTTCTGGAAGTAATGGCGACTTGTAATACTGTGATGAAATGGAGTATTCGATGTTGAGTTCCATCGTTTGCTTGATCTGCATGCAACAGTTTTAGGATTAAGGTAGTGCAAGATTTCAAGATTTGTACTGTGTTTCTTTCACCTGCCAAATTCTTAGACTAAGAGGCAACCTCAGCTCTTTGTTTTGGTTGTAATGAATTCCATGGGATTAAAGTTAATCAAAGTTGATTTGCTTTTCTCTGGGATTAAAGTTAATGAAAGTTGATTTGCTTTTCTCTGTAGTTTGCTAAAGAAGATTCTGTAATTATCTGTTACATTCCTTCAATTGGTTATCTAAATAATTACTTAAAATTGTTATCTGCACTTCACTTTCATTGTGCATTTACAAGACTCTATTAACCTTTTTCCAAAAATGATGCATCGAACAGCAATGGAGTTTAGATCAATGATATGTGTGTGAATCCCAATGGATGAAATTGAACTCTGAGTGCCATTTCTTTTGATTGTTGATACAATCAGAGTTTTGTTTTGCAACCTGGCAATTCCGTCCAGTAGCATCCCAATGTTTGAGCTTCTTCCTGGGCAGAATTAACAGCTTCTTTGATCTTTATATATGCTGCTTAGTTCTTCCCAAAGGTATTAAGATTTCATAGATTCTCAGGTACAAGGAAAGGAGATGGGATCTTAAGCAACTTGTTGGTTCCGGTGGAATGCCATCATCTCATTCAGCAACTGTAACTGCTCTTGCTGCAGCTATTGGGTTTCAGGAGGGTTTTGGAGGACCTCTGTTTGCTACTGCATTGATCTTAGCTTGTATTGTATGTCATCTCTCCATTTCTTTAGATCAAGCAATAATGAAATAAAAAACCATTTTAAATCAAGGAGTGTCATAATGGAAATTCCCTTTCTGTACATGCATGAATAGACACGCATGTACTATGCAACTATTAGTTTATTGTCACAGAAACGACAAGTGAGTTAGATAATATGCTAATGCTAATGAATGGTTCATGTTTTCAGAGTTGTATCTAATGTGAAACTGCTGGCAGGTGATGTATGATGCTACTGGTGTAAGATTACAAGCTGGACGCCAAGCAGAGGTATGCTGCCTATAGTACTTGTTCCTTAACTCTGCAGCATAGTCCTTTCTTTTACTTACAAAGAACATTATGCTCCATTTATCTCTCACACAGCATGTGTGAGAATGAAATGCCACAGAAGCATTTTCGTTTTGCCTATTATTGTCGTGAAGTCATGTTTGCCTTTTGTTTTGTTTCCTTTAGCTGGTTTATTCTGAGTTTGAATCATTGAATTTTCCCCAGGTTTTGAATCAAATTGTATATGAACTTCCTGCTGAACATCCTCTAGCTGAAAGCAGACCACTTCGTGAACTTCTTGGGCATACCCCTCCCCAGGTTAGGTGGATCTAAGATTGATGAAGGAAACTGTGTTACAATGCTAGCTTATAATTATTAATTACTAACTACCATATTATCCCGTCAGCTAATGCTTGCAATGGCCTATGGCAGGCACAAAAATAATGAATGTGATATAATCTGCCGTGTTAGAACTTGCAAATCTATGGTTACGATTGTAGTATGCTTTGCTGTCATATAACCCTATATGGACAGCAAACCTGTGATTACACAATGGTATTGATATGTGGAGAATTGAAGGGATAAGATTCTGCTTTTAGATGAGAATCAACTGAAATATTTTCTTAAAATCAAACTTGACATCCCCCATTGCATACAGATAGGTTTTTTTTAATAGAAACAAATCTGAACAAAACCTAGCTAATTTCCTTAGCATAATGAAATAAAACTAAATAGATAATCCTAGTTATCTATTAAACTACTACATTATTGCGGTATTGCCTACAATCAGTAACTCTTCCTTCACGTACTGATACCCAGTTTCACATTATTCTTGACTTCTAGTGACACACGTAAACCCTCGAATGCTATCAGTTATATTAGGATATGTACATGGCTTATCATGTCATACAATTGACCTCTAAAGGTTATTGTCTGATGTTTTCATTGATTCTCTTGCATAATTTGAATACAATCAGAATGGTAGCTTTCTGTGTTATTATATAATGCTATATAGATGATGATGAATCTTCATTGCATGGACAATAACATGCCTAAATGATAAATTGGAAACCAAGAAAATGGAGACGGGAAGGGAAACAAATGGTTTTGGTTCAAGCATTATCCCTAAGTTGGTGTAAAATGAACTAATTTTTCCCCCTTCTCTTCTCCATAGCATTTTTTGAAATTGTGAAATTATCTCTCCTCGATCCAAATACATTATGAAATTAGCTTTTTGTGTCTAATAACTGAAGTGACAATTTGAAGGATTATAGTTGTAATCATGAATTCTTTCTTTACGGTGCCTTTTTTTTTTTTAATTCAAATACTCCTATTTATCCTGCAGGTGGTTGCTGGTATGTTGCTTGGAATCCTTACAGCAGCTATTGGACATCTAATAACCATCATCAGTTAAACCATGGCGATGCTTACGGTGCAATTTCTGTTCATACCATCGTACAAAATTGAAACTACTATTCTGTGATCTTCACCTCACCCCTGAAAAATAGCATCCACGGCTTTATGCTGCTAGTTCTCGTGCTCAAGCTGCTTTTCTGGGTTCTCATGTACTTGGCCTTTCTCATTTCAAAAAGTAGAATTAGAAAATATATCTGATTGCATTGTTTGATGTAATGGAACTATCTGTTTCATCAATCTACAATCTCATTCTATACCTCACTTGACCGTGACATTAACTCACCAAATATTTACTAGTAGTATTAGCAGTATAGTATGAAAATTTGGGTCAACTCTCTCAGCTGAACTGATAATCTTTTAAATTAATATCTTGATCAATTCATTATCCTTTGAATCAATGTCTTAACGGTTTGATTTTCAACACGTATCTATTATCTAATGAAACTTGCTAGAAGTACTCTTTTTTTTGTTCCTTAAACATCAAAGCTTATTTTATTGTTTTTCTAATCTACTTGACTTTTTAAAAATTTTACCCGGCAAATTGACTCCTGTACTACAAAAAAAAAAAAAATTATTTACCTAAATACTACACTTTTAAAAATACTTCCCTACATACTGTAAATTTAAAAGTCAATTCATATCAAATTGAGTTCTAATTTTTTTTTTTTTAACTATTAGAGTATAGAACTTGGTCTAATAGAGACTGAGTTTTGTACTTATATATATATATATATATATATAATAGAAGTCCAAGTGTATGCTGACAATCTAAATGGAGGCTGTCATGTGTAATTTCCTACTTAAAACCCTACTTCCTCTATCTTATGAGCTATGTTTTTTTTTTTTTTTTGGCTCAAGAAATCTCAATGTGTAATTTCTCCTGGGCCAAAAAAAGAAGAGAAATTACAACTAAATTTCACATAAAAAATTTCATTATTATAAAGCCCATTTACAACTGAATTAACTGTATTGGCAATACATAGCTCCTGAGATAGAGGAAGTGGGGTGCTGAGTGGGAAATTATGCAAGACAACCTACACTTAGACCTTTAGCCTACACTTGGACTTCTAAATTTTTTTTTCAATATATAAGCACAGAACTCAGCCTCCGCTAGACTGAGTTCGGTACTCCAATATTAAAATAAAAAAAAAATAGAACTCAGTTTGATATGAACCAAGTTTTAAATTTATCGTATGTAGGAAAATATTTTTAATAGTATAGTATTTAGGTTTTTTTTTCTTTTTTAAGTACGGGAGTCAATTTTCCATTTTACTCCTACTTTAGCCTAACCCTTCTGATCCACTTTCATACGAAATAGAACACAAAACCCTCTCCTAAACCAAAGTGGTTTCCCTGGGTCGGACTGCAATATTGTTTAAATTTAATGCAAACCATTTAAATATAATATTTTAATATTTTTATTTGACTGCAATATGTAAGCAACTAAACAGGTTTTGAGTCGTCTTCTTCTTCTTCTTCTTGGCTCTCTCGTCCTTTCAGAATGCAAAGGTCACGTGCTTCCATGTGGGTTTCCATTCTGACATTCTAACTGTCCAAACATATAAAATAATTCTTTCCACCGAATATTGGTGGAAGACAATATTGCTTGTTCCAATGGCTTTTTAGGAAACTGGCTGTTAGTCTTCAGGCGTTACTTGCTAGTCCCTTGAGAAAATAATGCTCTCTAACGCCAGTTTTATTACCCATATTAAAAATCAGATTAGTCATTAAATCAGTTAAGATATTTATTTAAGAGTTAATAGTTAAAATCATGGTTGAACTATAATTAAAGTGGTCATAAATAAAATATTTTATTAAATTAGTTAAGATATTAATTTAATGATTAGTTTACCGGTTCAATAGGATAGATTGACCCAGATTTTTATATATAGTTCTACTCAATAGCAAAGACAAGAAATGTGTGTGTTGTAATATGACTGCGGAAATATCTGTATTTTTATTCATTGCAAGTGCTTAAAGCACTTGAGGGAATAATCATAAAATAAGGTTTTGAATGAAGAATGATAATATTTCCAAATTTCATTGGCGCATAAAAAATCCAAATTTCAAGGTAACTCAAACGAATGATATAGTTGAGTTTTTTTTTTTTTGGGGGGGGGGGGGGAGTGTGAGCTAGTAAGCTTCACATGTGCTTCTCACCAGTAACAATTTTTCTCATGAAATGCATGCATGCAGTATGTGAGGCATGTGGGAGAAAAAAGACCAACATGGCATAGGTTAAAAAAAAATTATCAAGGTACTACAAAACAAAAAAAAAAAATTTGTTCAAAATACTATCATAACTTACAAATTGATTTGATAGAACATTTTCCCTTCAATCTTATTTATAATATACCTTGTAGAAATAATTTTTGATTCAAAATATAAGACACCTTATAATAATTAAATTACTTTTTTTAATTTTACTCCTTGTATTATTATTTAAAGTTAAAAGTAAAAATGAAAGTATATTTTAGTTTTTTATGATATAAAAAAATAACTTTTTTTAAGATGCATGAACTAGTTAAAATTATCCCTAATAAAGATTATAGGGAGTAATTTAAGAATACCAATTGTCGAGAAAAAATTTTCCCTAAACCAAAAATAAATTAATCATTGTTAGGTAATGATTGAGTGAAAATAAGCTAATTTTCATGAAAACATGATTATTTTATGAGTACTAGATGATTTTCTACAAAGATAATTGATGAAGTCAAAATGGGGGAAGATGAAGTTGAAAGTTGCAACATTGATAGTCCAATAATACTGTGTTAATTGAAAGTTTAAAATACTAATAATCCCTTTTTTCTTGTTAAGGCTGGCTTTATGATATGTATTCATTATACATTTCAAAGATCTTACTTCAACTAGTATTACACACGCACATAAACAAAAACATACATAATACATAATTTATTATTCTTTTATTCATTTTGTTGGATTCACTTTTTAAAATATATTAGTGTATATTATAATTAAAAAAAATTAATTATTTAATTTTTATAATTTTGATTCAATTATAATTTAATTATAACTTAATTTTTAAATTTTAACGTTATAGCTCAATTTTTATATTTTATTATTAACTCAATTGTAATCGGATCTTCAAATTTTGACTTACTATAATCTAATATTTATAGTCTTAACTATTTAAAATATTAATCCTTATATTTTTAAAAAATAAAATTATAAAAATTAATAGTTTTTGTAATTTAAAATATTATCCCTAATTTTAGAAAAAAATTTAATTTTTATAATTTTATTTTTTAAAATATATGAATTAATATTTTAAATGATTACAAGGGAGTAAGAGACTAAGTACACTGACTGAAAGTTCATAAACTAAATTATAATTGAATTAAAACATTAAATTATAACAAATCAAATTTAAAAAACTAAACTACAACTAAGTCAAAATTTTAGAGCCAAATAATTAATTTTTTATCAATGATTAATTATAAACAAAGGAGGAACCCAAGGATCCAAACTTTGATGCGGGCGAAGCTCAAGTCCAAGTTGGATGTCAAGTCATCCAAGAGAAAAAGTATAAATTAGTGTTGTAAAATTGATATGACCACCATCCGTTAAATAAAATGGCTTAATCCAACTACTTAAACCAATTTAACATTTGGATCAAATTGACCCAAACAATTTTGAGAGAATCAAATTTAACCTGAAACTCAAAGTAGGTCAATTTGGGTCAAATTTAAGAAGAAAAAAGAAAAAAAGATCAGATGCAAATAGATGGAAAAGCTACCTTGAGTAGTGTCGATCATCAATGCTAAAATCGTGGGAAGTGGGATCACATCACTTATGATTTATTTATTTTTATTAAAACATTTGTTAAGATTTAATAAAATAAAATAAAATCTATCTTTTTATTGGGTGTAACCGTCCAAATCAAAAATCAAGGCTTGGGACTAAAAAATAATAATTTTACTTGTAAATAATTATTAGTTTTCTAAAACCATATTTAATTTAAATAATAGAAATTTTCTTATCAAAACAAAAGTTATATATTAGAGATTTAATTTGATCTTTTTAGTTTATTAGAGATTTAATTTGATCTTTTTAGTTTATTGTATTATTATTTGAAATTTTATTCTTATATTATTATTTTTATATCAAGCTATTAATATTTTATTAAAATATATTAATTTAACTATAACCAGTCCGACTATAATTTAACCACAATTCAATTAATAAACCGTGGACCCTAACCAATTCAGTTTTTAAAAACACTGGTATAAACATTCCTTAAATTCGTTGCAACGTCAAAAACCTAAATTAACTAATTAAGGTTAAGGTTCATTAGAAAGCCTAGTTCATTGGGTGAAGGCTTCTCTAAGTAAGGTTCATTGAATTGATGAATTTGAATTTCATATTTAACATATAATCTTTAACATTCGGATATATATATATATATATATATATTTGCCAATAACATCCATGTATTTAAAAATATTTATTTTAAAAATATAAAAATTTTAGGCAAATAACATCGGATTGCACTGCTTGTATGTAGAGATAGTAATTCGTGAGACAAAATAAGCTAAATTCAAATCAAACTTATTTATATCGGGTATAAAACATTCTAACACATTTAAAAAACCCATATAAGTAACACCAGCTACAACAAATATTATTTTATTTTATTTTTTATTTTTATGTAATTTTAATTTTTATTTTAAAAAATTAATATTTTAAATTTTTATCTTATTTTATAAATAATAAATAAAAAGTTGAAATATTCAGATTAAGCCAATTCAAGTTCAGACTTGACAGCCCAAATAAACACGGAATAAAAAAAAAATATATCTAAACTCTTAAACCCAACTCTAAAAAATTTTCAACTTATCCAGATTGATCCTTCAGACTTAACTCAAACTGCCACCGCTCGTGTTTGTCGTTGATCAAGGATTAGTGCGGGCAGGAACCAGGAAGTACTAATCTCTCAAGTTCAATACAGGCCATGGAATTAAAAAATGAAAATACTTTTAAAAGTCACTTAAATGCAAAACACTTGCTTAATAGCCGTTATTGTCATCAAACGGACCCGCACAGGATAAAACCAACTGCTATCAACCATCGCCAATATAATTAACATTAATGTTGTCCTGTTTTATTTCGAAAATTAAATTTCCAACATTATTAGTTTTAAAAACAAAATCAAACGAACCCAACCCTACTTTGGTGTCTGCAATTTCTTATTCCTCTCCCAATCGCATAAATCAAAAGCTGTCTATCATGCTCTCAACTTCATCTTCCTCTCATCATTTGCACCTACAATTTCTCTCTATTCGCTTCTTTCATTCTCTCTTTCTTCTTCCCTCGTTTCTCTTATTTACAAGTTACATCAAGTATCAGAAAACTGAGGGAGGATCGACAGACTAACAGATTCAGAAATGACGACGTGGAGGTCCTACTGAGACTTGTTTAAAGTTCAGAGTACTTACACAGAAACGACTCAAATATAAACATCTGAGGCCTGCAAAAGTATCGCGAGATCTGAGCATCAGTTTTAAAAAGCTCGATTTGTAATAGCTTCATGGAATCGCCAATCAGCAATTTACAGTTGAATCAGCTCATCATCTGCTCAGATCTATATACTCTGAATCCCAACCACAAGTCGAATCGAAATCAAGTGTAGAACACAAGACAAAAGACTTACATACTAAAGGATCCATGAAAAGTACCTGTTAGAGGTTGTTCTACCTCCACACTGCCCGTAAACCCTCCAATATATAAGAGAGAGAGAGAAGGGGAACGGCAGGGGGTGGCTTCATAAAACCCTAGAGGATTATACGCACCGTTTTGGGCCCATCCTGGCAATACCACAACTATTTCCTCACATTATTGGTCTAAATTTGGATCCATCCTTGTAATATCACCATTTCTCTAAAATTGTCGGTCTAACTTGGGCCCATTACTTATCACACAATTGAATAAGCCCAAACTTTTGGCCCAAATAAAACATAAATAAATTGACCGAAGATTTTGGCCCCAAAATCTATCTTAGCGCTTTACCGAAGTAACACTTTCTTTGCTCGGCAAGGAAGATTTCCTGCAAAGACTATTTAGCCATGTGTGTTAGAACATTTAAAAAGAAAGATATAAAAACATCTATTTTAAAGAAGACATTCAAGATAGAGACATTGCTTTTATCAATATTCAGGATATTATCAGTGATTAATACTGCCAATCTAAGATTGAATTTTTCATTCAAAAAGGGGATAGAATTAACGCTAAATGGCTCCTCCCAAAGAAAGATGAGTTAGATTAAATACTGATAGCTTTGTTAATTCTATTGGTGTAACTTCTTGTGGTGGTCTCATATGGAACAAACAAGGAAATTGAATTAAAAGCTTCTCCAAATATTTTGAATATCATCCAAGTACAGCTACTGAACTTGTAGGTATCTTAAAAGGACTTAATATCTGTTGGGTTGAAAAATTTAACAAAGTGAATGTCTAATCTAACTCAACTAAAGCTCTATCATTAATTCACAATGAGTTCTCCACCAATCACCCTCTTTCTGCTACTATCAATTATATCAGAGATCTCATTATGCGAAATTGAATTGTTACCTTTGATCACGTTTTTAGAAAAATAAACACATATTCTGACTGGTTCACTTATCAAGCCTCTACTAATAATTTTAATGTATTTTTTTTTACACTGCACCCCATGGTTGTGGGAATTTTTTATACTCTGACATGACTCAGCATATCGGTTAGCATGATCTTTTCGTGGCCTCATATCCAAAAAAAAAAAAAGTAACACTTTCTTCTCTTCCTTACCTATACTTGTCATGTTGGTTTCTAATTTTCCCTATATTTTAGAATGGCAATAAAATTTTAAAATAATTGATTAATGACAATTAAATTTTAGATAATTTTTTTTAAAAAAATTGTAAATATCAATAAAAATAGTTATAAACAAGAATTTAAATTGCAAACTAATTATTATACTCAGAATTTAAATATTGTATTTACAATTAAGACGTGAATTTGCAACTGGTAGATCAATATTTATAACTTATTTTTAAAAAAATTGTTGGAAATCTAATTGTGTCATTAATTTGCCGAGAATCTAACCGTTTGGATTCCATTTCTTTTTTTTCCTCTGCGCAATTATGGGTAAAATTTTAAGAAAACATTGTTTTCTCATGATTCTAAAATGTACAGTAGATCTGTTATATATATATATATATATATGTATATGTATGTCCACACATCTATCGTAACATTTTCATCTCTGCTACTCCAACTAGCTTGGAAAAGTAAATTTTTCATTTATTTTTAATTTCATCACCTATAATTAAAATTCTTCCCTCTTCATCCTTCAATTTTGCAACTTCATTGCAATAAATTTGTAACTTGTATTTTAAATTTTAATAGAAAAATAAATTTTTTTATTCTTCAACTATGTTAAAAGTTAAAAAAATAAATTACACATTCATTATAATGAAGTTATAAAATTACGAAATGAATTTACAAATTCATGAAGTTTGACACTTAAAATTTAATTTGAATTAATTGACCCTCTCATTCTCCCTATTTTTTATACTCTGGCACGAAAAAAGAAGGATACCTAGTAGGGTAAATGAAAGCACATCTATGGGGGGGAAAAAAGGCAGTAGATGTCCAAAATTTTCACCAAGCCCTTTGCAGAGCTTGTTACTGTCCTGAAAACCAACGAACAAAAAACGAGTTGTCTGTCGATTTATAAGATAATTTATAGATTGTATTGGTACAAATACAATCATTACATGACATATTTAGCAGCATAGTTAAAGCTGCCAACGTATATTGACTTCATGTCAATTTGAAATAACGTTATATCCATATTTCAACTCAATACTTTGAACAGATGCGCAGAAGAATTTACCAGCGTTTCCGTCGCAAGTCTGCCTTGGTTTGGCTGCTGTATAATGTAACAGAGGTACAGCTTACATCACTTCCATATCTTGCCTGTTAATGAGATATCGATATGCCTGGAAGCTTTTAACCAAAATCACAAAATCCATGCAGGGAAGGTTTCTTATTGTTTGTGGCCACCTTAAACTATGGTCTGACCAAGCACAAAGGTTACTAGACTCAGTTCAATGAAAAATATTGTGTTGACAAAAGATCGGTCAACCGTCCACCCGAAAATAGTGATTCCTCCAGGATTAGATTGCAAATACATCACTGAAAATTTAAAGGCATGCTTCAGCATCAGGTCCCAGTATATACAAAGTATGTGGACAACTTACTTCCAATTCTTTAAACCTGAAGCTATATAGAACAATATCTGTCAACTTCAAAAATGGTTCATAAAACATTAAATCACAGATGTAACATGATCAGACTACCCAATGAAGAAAATTAAATTAGATAGCATAGCAGCCTGTAAGAGAAGGAATCTTACCAGAACTAATAATCTCAACAGCAGATGCAAAAAAAAAAAAAGAATTTGACTTCCACCAAAAAAAAAAAATTGACTTGTGGACTTTCTACTAAAAAAAATGACTTGTGGACTCTTTATGAGGGCAAAAGAATACCCAGGTAATCAATATCTGTAATGTTAACCTCCAAGATTTCAATCTATTATTAAGAGATGACATGTGGGTTGCTCATCTCATGCCATGCAGCAGAAGAGCAAAGACAATGCGACAGTAACATAAAATAAATGCTGGCTGAGTCTGCTTTAATCAAATCACATATAAAAGCTGGTTTTGATCCATGACAATACAGAAGAGTGATGCCGATGCAGATCAGATGGAAATGTCTTTTTACAGGAAGTTAGAACTTAAATAGATATTTAGTCTTCTTTTAGACAAATTATTTGCCTCTTAAATTGGACTAGATGAACAAAATCAACCTTGAATATTCAGCAACAGGAAAAAAACAAAAATCACAACTTAGTATCCATCAAGAACTAGAAAGGGGGAAAAAAATCATTTCTAGAGTTTTTCGGTCAAAATGTAAACACTATAGAAGATGTTTTATGGAACAAAAGTTTATCACAACTTGCATGGCTGAAGCGAGTACTCTGAATAAGTTAAGCATTAAAGGAAAACAATGTCAACGCTCATAATCATGGCAACTTGCAGTGGAGCAATTTAGTAAATCGATGTTTATATACAAATATGACATTATCGTCACAAATTAGCAGAGCTGACTTGATAAGGTCAACACTCTATAAGCAAAAAATTGTTGAATGACATACCAAAGGCTTGCCTCTTGTGCTGTGATGACATATAGGAAGCCAGTCGGGTACTAATAGGCATATCAATGCAATCCAGTGACTCTAGATCACTTTCTGAGTAATCCAAATATATTGAATTCAAACGGTTTGCAGCCTCCAAGCTCCCTAAGCTGATAGAATTTCTCATTTGAGATACATCAGAAGAGGTGCACGTTGCCAATGCATGCCACCGGCTAGCAAGTGAAACTATGTTTTGAGCTCTATGAGAGATTCTTGTAGCTGCATGCAGACAAAGAATAATTCCAACAACCTGTAGAAGTGTAGAAACCTGAAAGGATAGGAAAAATAAAAGAAACGGAATCAACTTGCTGTGAAACAACTTGAAATCATGACAAAAGCAGGGAAAACAATGAGAAACTATTTACACATTAGAACTGAGTAACTTCTTAATGATTGGATAACATCATCGTAAGAATGGGAACTTATACAAGTTAAACATGGCAAAATGGAACTTACAGCAAAATCTCCACCATTTGTTAAGGAAATTATTCCACCATATACTGTGATCTGTAACAGAGCCACAAACTGGCTAGTTGTGACAACCAAGAATTCCAGAAGAAGATATATTCTGAACCTGTGGCTTATTTTTAAGAGATGATAACGCAATCGCATGTGCTCCTCCATGAATATTAACACATCAGATTCCCTTTCTAACAGCTTCCCATAATCATCGAAGTGGATAACTTGCAAATTGCAGACCAAGTGAAACAAAATGCTGGCTGATAGAGAGATTGTACTCACATAAGTCCAAGATATTGTTAAAGCTAATAAAGTAGCAACTGAGAGCCACCATGACTCATGACGTAAGTGTATAAGGCGAATGATTTCTCGGGCTATCTTCAGCAGGAAACATGGAAGTAGCCACAGAACGAGCAAGCGCATAGACTCCTAAAGGGGAAATAAAAAATTAAAAAAACATGTTTTAACACTTCTTAGTGGTGAATTTCCTACCCCATTGAAGGTACTGAGTGAAGCAAACGGATCAATAGAACTACCCAAACATCATAAAATAGAAAAACTGACAGAAATTTAGACCATATTTGGGAGAATTTTTAAGAACTAGAGTATGATGACAATTTAGTAAAACTAACAGAAGTTTGCAGTAATGATCACAGTCATGAAACAGAAAAGAAGATAATCGAAAACATAAATTTGTAGCTGTTGCAGATAATTCTTACACTGACTGGCCACACGTAGATATCTAAATAAACTTGAATTTGCTCACCGAAATTTGTTTAACGTAGTCTTTATGAAAGCAGGCCATTTGCCCACCGTAGCGGTCAACAAAAAGAAACCTCTTTAAACCGTACTTGCGCAGATTATGGGAGAGGCAAATCAAGGAGACGGCGGCGAGGCACGCCTGAAAGGCCACAACGTCCATCTCAAAATCCCTAATCTGATACTTCTCAATCTGACAGTCAGAGCAACCACTGAAATGAAGAGCCAAGAGTGGAACCGCCACCCCAATCAGCATGAACGCACTCCAAGAAAGAGCGAAGCTCAACACCGAAGTCTGCTTGTACCCAAGTATAGTGAGAAAGATTTCCAAACGACGAAGCGCGTGATCCAGTTGGTCCTCTTCCTCATTTTCTCCTTCTTGTGCTTCATCTACTTCAATGCCGTTTTGATTCGGATTTGAACTCCAACCAAGAAGGGGCGTCAGAAGAGGAGCTTGCTCTGTTTCTGAATCGGGATTGGCCATGATTCATGGATCAAAAAACGGCGATTAAAATATCACCGTTTAATACGACGGATGATAGTACGCATTGTGATGAGAAGTTGAGGTTTGAGAGAGATTTCGGAAGGCGAAAGTGATTGAACATGCTGAAAGTGAAAGTTGATTCTGCCTAGTTTCAGCTTCACTCTGCTTCCTCAACCTGCATCTCGAGAGGAATTATTAGGTGTTTCGTGGAATTTTGAGCTCGGTATATGTCCTCCTCTTCTGGTGACGTGTGGCCTCCACCGTTTAGCAAAGGCCCACAAATTTCAAAGTCCGGGCATGTATAAAGAGTGAACGTTGCAAATTGCATAGATCTGGATTCCGAGGATACCATAGGGAAAAAAGAAAAGAAAAGAAAAGAGAAATTAATGTAAAATAAAGAACTGTAAATTGTAGATTAAAAAATTCTTAATGTTTTCATTGAAAATTCCTAACATTTCAATTATAAAAAATACGTAATATTTTTCAAGAGTTCTTATTTGTCATTCTTCCAAAACAAAAATAAGAGGCAAACAAGAGATGAGAGAATGATATGTAAGCCTCTGTCAAGAGAATTTATTATAATAAACCCACTATTTTTTATATCAAATACTGTCCTAGGAGGGCATGTATACTCTTATGATCTTAGTAATAGGGTGAAAAAAAAATTAATTTTATTTATAGTACATTTGTCAATTTTTAAGGTCCCTCTTTATATTTTTGCCTTTATTGAATAAAAAATGCAAGTAATTAATGATATTTAAGAATATTTATTAACGGTAAAAGTGAAAACTTATTAAATTTTAAAATATATTTAATAAAATTTAAAGTTTTTTTTAATTTCAATAAAACATACTAAAAGTGATTTATAAATAGAATTAGAAAGAATATGTTATTGTTAAAAGCTCAATCATCACTTAAGCTAAGGTTTAGCTGTCATAACATACATGTATTTTTACAAGATAATATCTAATATAAAATTGATAGATCCTTATTGTAATAAATTTCTTTAAGAAAACTTTAAATGTCATTCTCCCAGAAGAGATTATGTAGTCATTGTTGGAGCATTGGAGGCGACTACAAAATACCCCATTCGTTCTAAATTATAAGATAATTTAAGATAATATTATACATACCAATAAAGCTCAATAATTATACTTTATAAATTCACTTTGTCAAAACAAAACTATAAGCTTTTAAAAATAACCATATATATTTAATCATTACTTTATTTGGTCTTATTTACAGCGTAGAGAGATAAAAATTTTTTATCCTATTTGTATGTTATATCATTAAATTTTTATTATAAATTTTTTTTACCCTTCATTAAATGTTGGAGAAAAAAATATGCTATATATATATATATATATATTGATAGGAACAAAATTGAGAATTTATCAAATTTTTAGACATAATTAATAAGTTTTAAAATTTTTGTTGATTCTTGTAAAATATGTTAAAAATAATTTATAAATAAAACCAAAAGAGCATACTACAATCATTTCAATTTCTCTCTTCACTTATAAAATAATATTAAAAAAGTATTATTAATAAAATTTTATTTTTATTAAATTATTTCATATTTTGGAATAAAGAAATGTCTCTAAAGTTATTTTATAATTTGAAAATGAGGTAATACTAATTTATTGTAAAGCCCCAAGCTCCACATTTAATTTGAATATTATATATTATTGTCAGTTTAAGGGCTCACTACATTCTCATATTTAATTAATAGCGTGAATAACGCTGCTTTGGCTGGGGTTTTATTAGATGAGGCCGGAGGTCATAATTAGTTAAGTTGCGTGACTGGTTAGTTGTTTCTATTTTGATTACTCGAGTTGGAAATATTGTGTGGTAATTTGAGATACTGAATTATCATGGTTAGTATTTAGTGAACAAATTTAAATTTGTTTACCATGGTAATTGGTTTTTATTGGTTTATCATTTTTATTACCATGGTTGTTATCTGTTTAAAAAGGCTTGAAAGTTCAGGTGCAATACCCAACTTATTAAATTTTTAGAAACAATTAATGAGTATCAAAGTTAATCTTAGTTTCGATAAAAAAAATAAAAATAACTTATAAATAAAATTAAAGGGAGTCCTCCCTCCCTTTGTTCCTATTTAGTTCTCCTGATTTGAATTTTTGTCTTGTCTTTAAATGCATGTTATGTTCCAAATTTTAAAGTATAATGATTATTAATGGGAAAATGAAATTATTGATTCTCATAGTTTTATTATATTGTATTATTGATCTCTATATTTTTTTTTTCATTGCTCCAAATCTGTATAGTTTTTCTCGTCTACAACATTAATCTCTCTAGTTTTAAATATATTCAAAAAAATGATAGTGTAATACTAATGATATTAAATTATTTGATGTGTAATTAATGTTGTTAAATTGAATGGTAAAATATAAAAGGAAGAAAGATACAAAACAATCACAAAAGAGTAATGTAGATCAACTTAAAGAAATTGAAGAATATGCTTGACTACACAAACGAAAAAAAAAAAAACCCAACATCAAGATTAACAAAAAAAAAAAAAAAACAGACAATAGCTTCGAATTTAACAAAAAAGAATACAGTATTTTGGCATGATGAACAAAACTAAAGTAGAGGTAAAGAGACGAGTTTAAAATTTGAAGTATGTAAAAACAAGCGAAATGAAACGTAACTTCTATTTAACTCGTAGTAAAATGATATTAGATATACATTTGATAATTTAATTTTACTAATACTATATCATCATCTTTATGGGCATATTTAAAAAAATAGAGAGATTAACATTACAATTAGGTAAAATTATAGGATTAACGAGCAAATAAAACTCTAAATTATTGCTTAAAAATCACCTTGGATCTCAAACTTTTAAAATATGCAAAATAAATTCTAAACTTTTAAATTAATAGTAAAATAAATCTTGATCATAAATTTTTTAACATCGTTACTGTCCATGCGGGTACTGTAACAGTCAGAGTTAAATTTGTAAGAAACTAAATTTTGAACAGTACCACATGGACAATAACGGTGATAAAATGTTAACAATCAAGGTTTATTTTGCTATAAATTTAAAAATTTAGAGTTTATTTTATATATTTTAAAAGTTCAGGGTCCAAAATAATTTTCGAGCAAGAATTCAGAGTCTTATTTATTCATTAACCCAAAATTATATAAACTTGAAGTAATAAAAAAAATATAAAAACTAATAATAAAATAAAATAATGCTATAGGGTTGATCAATAGTTGTGTTTTCTCTTAATTTTAATAATACTTTGTCAGATAGATGACATTAAATAGAGGTAGTTAACATACAAAATAGTGTGATGTTGAATGAAGAGCAAAATCCAAGTAAAACAATGCTTATATAATACATAGATTTTACTTTCTCTTGTTTCATGGCTTATATCCTAAATCTATTTGCTTGTACTCAAATCCTTTGGTTCTTTAGCATAATTTCAGTTACAAGGAAGCATTTACTAGCAATTTTTCCTTAAAAAACAAGTAAATTAAGCGAGATACACATATTTAATGCTTGACCATAAATAAGATTATCTCCAATAAAAATATACATGTTAGTAATAAAAAATACCAATATAAAATTTTTAAAAAGATGCTTTGCAATAATAAATTGAAGTCGTATTTAAATTTCCAAATCAAAGTGTGGGATCGCATGTTAATGTGGTCTGTGGATGTATAATGCATTCATGTTTCCTACATTTGAACCAGCATCCATAACATGCGGAGACGGTGACCTTCAGAATAGGAGACACTGGCACTTCCTGTCTCCAAATAATAGAGCCGTGAATATAATAATACTAAGTTCGAGGTATTGGACTATCTGGCTGATTTTATTTTTAGTCTCATTTGAAAAAATAAATAAATTTATATTCTCATTTTAACAATAATTTATTTTATATTAGTCATGGTCTGCAAATAATTTTTTTACCAAGTTTTTGATTGTAATTTTCTCAATTTTTTTGGACTCATGATTTAAAATTACGTTATTTTTGTGAAAAGGACTCATAAGCCTAACTCTTTAAAAATGAGTTCAGACTTGGATTATTTGTGTAATTTTATATTTATTTTAACTAAAAAAATTATGATACTTTATATCTTTGGATTAAATTTAAACTTCAAAGTAAATATATATACCTTAAAATTAGAATTTGAATTACTTATTTTGAAAGTTTTAAGATATTTTAACTTTTATTTTAGAACATAAATGTGTAATATTATAATAGAAAAATTAATTTAAAAGAATTTAAAAAATAAAAATAATTTGTTAGCTCATTGAGCCTAATCAATAAAAATTAAATTTAAAAAAATGATCAATTTTGAGATAAATAGCTTTTGGACCCAAGCCTATAAGGGCCAATCAGTCGTTTTCTAACTCTACCTAATTTATAGTGGAATTTATATACAAAATACTTATTCTAATTGTAATTAGACTTTTTCTTAATGCATTTACCATCGTTGGATATGAATACCTTCACTTCATTAGCTAAATGGCTATTACATCTTGAAAATAAAGAGTAATCAGTATGGGGTGTGAATTGTGTTACACAATCCCGTAAACCTCAAATTGTAATTTCATTCTATTCTAAAATATAATTAAATTTATATTAAAATTATAATACTTTTAATAATAATCATTATAATAAAGTTTCAACATGTTCGAAGAAATTTTAACATAACCTTTTTTATAAATAGAATCTTCCAAAATCTCTATAATACATTGATTCAATTAAAATATCAAATAAGTTAAGAGCTCAGTTTTTTTCAGCCAACAAACAGTATATAAATTAAAATAAAGTCCTAATAAAAATCTATGTAGAGCAACTAGTCTTTCTTCTAAATTAAAATACTAGTCTAGAATAATTACGTCAAAGGTAATAATACTAAACAAGATTAGCACCCAGTAATGCTTTATTGCCCTTCAAATATCAGCAGTAGGATCAATATCAGTTAATGAATCTAAAATTAAAATTATTTTTAGTGAATAATGTTCCAATAATAAATAATTAAATATGAATAAAAGGAAAATTAGAACAACAACGATCTCCATGAAGATTTAAATAAATTTAGAATAAAATGATTCTATATAACTTTAAATAAATCATAATTCATTAAAATATCATATCAAATGTCATTATCATTTAACTTCAATAAAGCAAATAATTGCAATAAATAATTGTAAATATTTCACTAATCAAAACCAATGAAAAATAGATCCATAAAAATTTAAAAACTCATAAGTATAGAAACTTATCAGAACAAGTAACAAATGTGAACATACAATCTACGAGAGTAAATAACCAAACGCAACTTATACCACCAAAACAAACATGAACATATAGGTCACGAGGATAAATAACTAAATGCAACTGAAATTACAAAATAAATATAAACATACAGTCCACAAGTATAATACTAACCAAATATGGCTCGAAGCCACGAAATCAAATACGAGTATTAGATCCACGAATAACAAACGTGAAAACAGGGCTCACGAAATTTAAATTAGCTAGCTATTTATTAAGGTGTGAAGGGTTAACGGAACTATTGCTAGCAACCAGTATTTTGTAAAAAGTTCTTTCCAAAACCAATTTCAAACATAAAAAATAATCACTTTTAAATAAAAAATTTATTTTTAATGTTGAACTTGCATGAATTTTTTTTTTGTATCAATCCAATAATTTTCAAAATAAAATCTCACAATTGAAGTCAAATCTCGTATTTATTGATTAACTAAAATCATCAAATCCGATAAAGAGAGTTTCACAAAATAAAGTAATTTAAAAATCAAAATAGCCAATAATCTCATTGTTACTATTAAAATGGTTTATATGAAAAATGTAATATTTTAGTAAAGATAATTTTGTTTAAAAATTAATTGAGATACTATTCATTTACCTAAAATTTTTAAAATTCAAAAATTCACCTTCAATGTCAATTAAATTTTTCATCCTCCAAATTCCCAATAAATTAACTTAAGATTTTTAAATAAACTTTCAATAAGTCCAATAATTTTCTCACTACATTACCACTATCAAAATTTAGCTATAATCAATTTAAAATTTTAAAATCAAGACTTTACACATAAAATTCATTAAAAGTCATGGCTCAATACTCTATTAAAATACAATCTCCCATCAACAATCTATTCATTTTCAATAATTTAAATAATCATATATTATTAATTTGGTAGTCAAATCTCTTTTGTAACTTCCAGCTTAAATTCATAGATTAATAATAACACCCATACTAATTATGCTTCTTACAATAATCAATTATATTTCAGAAAAATATTAAAATTAAACAAAACTCTTCTAAGGGTATTTTATCGAACTCCTCACGTACATAAAATTTTTTTTAATGCTAAACTCTTCTCTTCAAATCCCATTCCACAATTTTTCCAACAACTCTTTAATGCCGATACTTAAATTAATTCAGCTTTCCAATTTCATTCCTTCAATGAAAGTCAAAACACGTTCAAATAAAGTTAAATCTAATCTTTCCCTTTGCAATAACCCCAATATCGGAGGAATAAACTACCAAAGTATGTCCTTAGCTTAAATTTCAGCTTGATTAATCCCCTATCTACACCACCATTCAACAATCATGAAAGCTAAGAGAATAAGATGTTGCTCAAACAAGGAAGAAGAAGGTTGGTCGGTGACGCATAACAGGGAAGATCGAGGAGAGAGAAAGAGAGAGCTGACGAAGTGCACAAACCGAAGGGAAACAAAAAAGAAGTTGCCAACAGAGAAAATTTCAATCATCACAGTCTCTAATAATAGCAGCCAGAAGCAAAGATCAATATAACCCCCCTCCCCCAAGCAGTGATCGACGGTGTCACAGACCAGAGAAAACAGAACAAAAATGAAAAAAAAAATAAAGTCAGTAGACCTGGATGTTTTCTGCGAGGTGACGATGAGCCTACAACCACCGATGATAATGATGGAACGACGGAGAAGGAGGCAAGATCGAAGACCACACAATGAAGATCTAGAAATTTCTTTAGCTTTGGTGACTCACGACTGAACAGGGAAAAAGGAGCAAATTTAACCATCATTCTATAGAAAAAAGAAACAATTTCCAAAATACTATAATTTAAAAATTATTTATCAATATATTATAAGTTAAAAATTTGGCTTGATAGATATCGAGTTTTAAATTTTCTCTTTCATTTTCTATTTGCATAAGTTGGCTTTTATCTCACTGAGTTTATATGTCAAATTTTTGTCTATTTTTTTTTCTCTCTCTCTCCTTCACGTGGTCTTACTTTTATGACTCTAAAAAATATGTTGGCAAAAGGTATTAAAATAAGAGAGGATAGAGGTGAAATATTAAAAAAGTCATGAAGACTCTAATGTCAGATGCTGAAGCTTCTCTTGCATCATGGGAAATTTTTTTAATATTGATTAATGATTGGCAAAATTACTGAAATATTACATAAAAAATTAATTATTAAAATACTATAAAAAATATTTTTCAAGATGCTATAAAACCAAAAATTAATTTAATAAGAATGTACACAACTTAGTTTGATTGAAATCAATTGTCACATTTTATTCCCTACCCACCCTTATCCTAATCCATCATTAGTTAATCATTAATTTTATTAACATAATCATGATGATAAAATGATTATTTTTATGATTATTGAATTATTTTTTACAAAAAAAAAATTGATGGGGTAATCATTAATGAAATGATGAGCTACTAAGTAGATTTTTATTATTTAATACAATAATACTTTTTTGTAATTAATTTAGATTGAAGTAGAATAAATAATAATTAAAAATATAAAATAATAAAATGAGTCAATAATAACAAAAAGGCTATTATTTTTTTAGAATAATTAAATATTAAATATTTTTACATTAAAAAACATAATTTATACATAATGGCTTCCTGTGCCACATTTTGGTTTCCTTATAATACGGTGTGCTCGCCCTTGTCTTGTAGGCTCTTTGTGTTGTGATTCTAATGATTCTGTGATTGGTATAATTGGTGGGGTATTCAAATAAAAAATAGGAGACTCTGTAGGGGAGATCGAATGCTGTGGAGTCGTAAATATTTCATTCAAGGGCGCTCCATGTTCAAACTTGCAATCATTATATTCGGCTACAAATAACAGTAGATCATAAAATAAAGAAGTGAATGAACCAAATTGTTCAACATTTGGAGAGCTAAGTAGTGGGACAAGGATGATGGGGGCATGCGATGGGATTGAGTAAACAAGTTAGAAGAAGAAGGGCATCCTTGGTCTTGTTCCATTTCATCTTTAATGGCGTCGGGTGGTTGTATAGACAAATAGCCTCCACGTCTCTTACTTTGCCTACCTTGAAGTATATGTGGGCGTGACACATCTACTGCAGGTGGAGCAAGTTGAGGGAACATTGTAAAGCGTTGCTCTCTCAACACAAGTAATATATTACATTGGTCTTGACAAACCTTTTCTTAATAATCTATTATAGGTATTTGTAAAGGATTTTGAAGACTTAACTTACATAAATCTTCCGCTATATCTGCCTGAAATTAGTTAAAAAAAATTGAAAAGTAGGAATATCAATTATAAAAATATAATGATAGTGAATACTTACTGCAAAACTAGTTGCAGCAGTTCTTGAGCTAATCCACTTTCAAGTATGTCTCCAATACCATCGCATGTACTCGGATGTGTGATCTAATGGCTCGTTTGATATAGTAGACTAAAGTTTGCATGCTCCTTAATCCAATTTGATGATGTTCTTCCCCTAAGTTGTAATGTGTGGACATTCCCCAAACTAACTAGGGGAAAAGGAATCAGTTGTTAAAGACCAAATTGTCTCATGACACGATCAAGATAGTGCCATTCTATTATGTGAAAGCATATTAAGAGAACTGAAGCCTTCTAAATTTGTGGTGTGACTAAACAATAGCTTAGAATCAAAAGTTGCACCAATTGAAAATTATATAGTTTCCAAATTATCTCATCCTCCACCATTACATTGAGCCAAAGTCTATATTGTTGTAATGCAATGGCACTAGGACAAGGTGGTCACCCCACATTTTTTCATTTGTGATTAATTTTTTTAACTTGTTAAATTTATATGATTAAATAAATAATATAAACTCATATCAATGAAATCTTAAAATAAGCATTACCTAAATCCAAGAGGGGGTATGAGAGGATAGATATCTGTTTGTGTATCTAGAGTTGGAGGTCGCTCTGGTGGGAGCATCGAAAAGCGATCCCATGCCTATAAGTGAAGTAATGCTAAGCATCCACCTATCCCTTCCTTAGTTAGGTTGGTGACATCGCATAACTCTCTATAAAGATACACTAATACTATAGATCCCCATGAAAAGCAACTAGCTTTTTCAAAATTCCAAAGTAATGAAGGATACATTAAATAAACTTTATAACCTGACCTATCTAGCATTAAATACCCACCAATCAATCTAAGTATGTAAGCTCTTGTGAATTATTGAACTTGTACATCATTCACATCATCTGGTGGTGAAAGTGTTCAGCTAGCCAACAAATTACAAAGCCTTTGTCCTAACATTTTATCTTCTGGTGGTTGTCTTCCAAGGAGCCATTCACAAACATTAAACCAATTCCAGTTTGTTTTACCAGAGATAGGAGTTTCAATACATATAAGGCCTAATTGAATAGCAACATCTTGTAAAGTTATTGTGCATTCACCATAAGTGGTATGAAAAGTATGTGTCTTATGTTGCCACCTCTCAACAAGTATGAGACCAGAGTTGGATCATATTCAAATTATCCTATTCTTGCAACTCCATAAAATCTAACTTGTTTAAGGTACTCTATGATTTGGAGTGGTGGATCTATCAATCAATCCTCATGCATGACTCTTCGAGTTCAAAGGATGTGATCATGCTAAAAAAAATTAAACGTGATAAACTTGTCAAGTATAATAATTTTAGACAAGATAAGGAGAAATGATACTTACATTGTCATTCCATACAGTCTGTGAAATATGTTGTTCTTGTAAGTATAATAATGTATTTTCTTCTGGACTTGGGTTAATAACTTGCCTTGGTTGAGCCATTTATATGCTATTGTAATGCAATTTGAAGAAATAAAGAAATTTCTAATAGCAAGAAGAATGTCAATTATAATTAACATACTTATCTAGAATAATTAATGTCAAATTCAGTACAAATCATACAACTTAACTTCTACATGCTTGTTTATTTGGATAAGTAAAGAAATTATGACTCGTTTGTCTACATAACCCACATTTATTTAGCTCAGTGGTGTGGTGCAATCCATCTCATTACATATGCAAGTTGAGTGAGGACAACCTCTTTCTCTAATCATTGATGGGTCAGGAATCAAACTAGGAATATTAGTTTCAGGCCAATGAATCTCATCTCTTATGGGGCGAAACTCATTATTATAAGCTTGCCTCATATATTGTAAAGTAAAAATGGGATCCACGAATTGTAAATGGTTTAAGCCAATACTAGCACATGTTGCAATCACATGCATACATGGGTATTTTTCTACTTGAAACTCTCCACAATCACATTTTTTCTCATTTAAGCTAACCTTGCAACATCATCCAAATTGATGAATTTGAATATTGCATGGTTCTTACACCTCAAATGATGTTTCCCTTCAATTAAAAGTGTGAACGATACAAGCTGATGCAGCTTGTGTTGCCATTTCTAGCTTCTTACTAATTGTCTCAGAAAACATTTGACCAACTGCTATTTGTGCTTCAACTTATTAGGCACATTTAACAAAATAGTTATTCACCCTATACATATTAGCCTTCATAAATCTTGTAATTGGTAGGCTTCGGACACCTTTAAAAACATTATTCATGCATTCTTCTAGATTAGTTATCATGTGACCATAATGTTAACCTTCAATATCATATGCACGACCACTTTTCTATTGGAATTTCACCTATCCATCTTACTGCTCGCTTATAGATTAATGCTATCTCGGCCAATTGTTGGTTAACAACATGAAGCTCATATGCATAACCTATATATAATCAAAAACATATAATCAATAATTATATCATGATAGGATTTTATTATTATAAAAAAAATAATTGACTTATACTAATGTGTACAACATTTTTCCTTTAACCAATTTGTTCCATGTGCTTTGTGGAGGTTTGCAGCTACATGCCTTAAGCAAAAAACATGATATCCATTCGATGGTTGCCACCCAACATGTGGATCCCCAACTGCAGCCATTATTGAGTGATGCCTATCAGAAATTAAACATATTCCATTTCTATCCTTTACGACGTATGTGCAAACATTATACAAGAACTAAGACCAAGCATATTTCGTCTCTCCCTCAACCACAACAAATGCAAGGGGTACAACATTTCTGTCATCATCTTGTGATATGGCCATAAGAAATGTACCCTTATATTTTCCATATAAAAAAGTACCATCAACTTGAATAATGGCCTTTAAGTGTTCAAACGAATCAATACATGGCTTGAATGCCTAAAAAACATGCACAAACATTTCCATAGGCTGACCTTCATAATTAACTTTTAAGCATAGCTTACTTTTAAATCTCACACATGATCCAGGCATGAAATGTTAGACTATAGCTAACCACCTTGGTAATAATGAGTATGAGCTCTCCTAATTATCAAAAGCCATTGCAACTGCTAACTGTTTAGCCTTTTATGCTTTCTTATATGACACTGTATACCCAAACATGGATTGCATACGCTCAATTATTTGGGATACTTTCACATTTGGTCGATCAATTACCATTGCCACAATAGAGGATGAGATGACATCAGCATTTACCTTAGGGTCTTGACTTAATGAGGTTGCTAAACAAGTATGAGGCCCTGTATATTTTATAATATGCCATGATGTTCTATTTATTTTTTTACAAGCCCTTAATCTCTAATTGCAACTACTTTTATAATTTATACATCGATATTCTTCGTACTTATCACTTAAATGAAACACCTTAAACGTGTGATGAACTTGAACAGAGTATA